GCATTCCATGTGTTTCCTATATGACCTTCTTGAGGTCGTCTGGTCTCATGTCACTGTCTTCCCGTGAGTCTGTTTATGTCAATGAATTGGAAAGCTTTATTCCTGAAGTACGTGTGATTATACATTTCCCGGTAAAATCTCGATATCGGGTGTTGACATATCATCGGCACGCACGTGTACTATTGTTTACCAGGGGCCTGTTCGTTTATGCGGAACAACCGGTTTGACCGTTTATAAATGTAACAATTCCGGGTATAAATCCTGGCGGACCTACAAATGTGTATGCAAGACTTGCAAGGCTTTCTCAAGGCTCGCCTGAAAGCAGCATCAGATAACTAGGTCTTACCTTATTTAATAAACGAACAACAGTGGTCCGATCGGTTTGACCGTTTAAACGCAAACGGCCCAGGTGTTACTATAATTTGCACTACGATATTGAATACCCGATACGCAAAACGGAAATGACGACACGGTGTACATGCACATTTCGATCAAGATAATTGAGTCCGAGCTGTACTTTTTCCGGAAGTACGTCACGAAAATGGACGCTGATGACGATGTGTCGAGCCACCTTAAAATGAATTAGATTTTGTTTTGAATTGTCTATAAAGTTTATCTGGTTATCTTTCTATGTACGCTTGATGTCAACATATTAACTAGGAATGTAAACCTCAATAATATTCTGACTGTTAAGTATACTTGTATTTGTAGACGCTTGTGTACACATCCTCAGTAGGTAACATTACAAAGACTGTGTACAACCCTGAAGCTATCAAAGCTAAGACGGTCCTTACTAGTCCCACCGCTGTACAGACAGCCAGCTTTGTCTTCAAGATTGAGGCGATTAAACGACAGGAAGCTCTGAAGAAGGTACAGCTTTTTAGATTCTTCATTTTGTTTTAATAAAACTTTTGAGAAAGTATAGTTTTTGATAAAAAAAAAATGAAATCTTGTTTATATAACAATATCCAACAAAGTCCCATTATGTATGATTTTGCTGTAACAAGCTTCAATAAGTTCATAAAAAAGAAGATGGTATTGTGCTTTGAGAATTTTTAAATGTGATGTTTACAGTGATTACATGTTACAATGAGAAAGGTAATGTTAATTTTATTAGGGGCTACTAAAAAAACACTCATCCAATACCCTACCGACAAACCAACCAATGTAATAGTTGTAACTGCCTGTTTATAAGTAATACCTGTCCAGTTGACCAGAGAGGACCTGTGTAACCTGTTATAAACCAGACCACCTACAAATGTCTTCGCAAACTTTTAGAAATTTCATATAAATCTCTGATAATAGAATTAATATATAGAGTGTTGTATGTGTCAAGATTGATAGTTTGTAGATGTGGTTGGTTATGTGAAGTAAAATTCAAATTATATTATAACAGGAAGCAATGAAAAAGAAAATAGAAATTCAAAAGCAGAAACATGATCTACTTCAGAAACAGCTAGAACATCAAAAGGTTAGTATTAAGATATTCTTTGTGGTTTAGATTTGATTTTCAACAAGTAATATGGAGCTGAAGATAGAGATGAAACTACAGTACAAGGTTGACATTAGTTATTGTCTTCTGTAGATAATTTATAGAACAGTAAAATAAACACAACAAGTTTGAAATCAGTTATTGTGTCTTGTATTCAACAGATAGATCTTTTAATTTTTATTGTGTCTATAGAACCATGATATAAACGGTTTAATATTTATTGTGTCTATAGAACCATTATATAAACGGTTTAATATTTATTGTGTCTATAGAACCATTATATAAACGGTTTAATAGTTATTGTGTCTATAGAACCATGATATAAACGGTTTAATATGTATTGTGTCTATAGAACCATGATATAAACGGTTTAATATTTATTGTGTCTATAGAACCATGATATAAACAGTACTGTTGATAGAACCTTGTAACTAACACCTCAGTCAGTTAAAGTCACATTTATATGTCCTGCTTTAGTTACACTGCATATTTTACACTGGTTAATCAATTGTGGTAATGTATATGTGAAGAATTAAAGTTTAAAAGCTCAAAGGATCTCTATGTATTCATTTACATGGTCTACTCTGTCTCTTTGTATACATTTACATGGTCTACTGAACTCTGTCTCTTTGTATACATTTACTTGGTCTACTCTGTCTCTATGTATACATTTACATGGTCTACTAAACTCTGTCTCTAGGTGCTGATACAAAAGCTAGAGAAAACCAAAAACATGAGTGCCGAGGACAAGGAAACCGTAATGAAGGTATAAAAAGAAATCATCGTTAGACAGCTGTTCCATAGTAATGTTTTACTTGATTTCAAGTCTGCTTGAGAAAAGTCAAAGAGAATTCGAACCTTTGCTTTGTCTGTCTGGTTTTCTTGGAAGTCAATAGAATAAATTGATGGGCTCGTGACAGAAAAGAGCCAATCAAAAATGTTTATCTAAAAGTAAAAAAATAAAAATACTTTCAACAAACCCAACTTTAACACATACTCCTTTGTTTTTAGGTAAATAACCGAAATAATTTGATTTATGTATCAAAAATTAAGTTTAATTCATACCATTCCAAATTCATATTGGAGAATGACAATGTTTACATACTTACAACCGTCAGATCTTCAGAAGCTGATATGTATTTTGTATTTTTCTATGTAGACTTTGAAGATCCTTGAATGCAGTATTGTAAAGCTGAAAGTAGAACTTGTTCCAAAAAAACCTGTGGTGGATCCGGCAATGCTCAAATCTCCAGAACTGGTATTAAAAACTTACTAAATCTTTTACGTTTTATTTATCAAAGTCCCTAGATTTTGAAATCTGGTATTGACAAGTGTTCTAAATCTTATAATTCCAGCAAAAACAATATTAAGTATATATTTAGTTGACATGAAAATACTGCATTTGACAATTTATTTATGCAATGAATCAGTTCCAAAGACTTTATGCATTAACAAGTCTTACAGTTTGTTTGCATGTCTTTAACATTTTCAGGCCGAATACTTACTATTACACTAATAGTGAAGTTGAATGTCTACCCTTGTTGGTCCGATAATAATTGAGTTCAGACTAAATAAATTATGTATTTGAAGTTCATCCCTTGATTAGGTGTAATACTGATTATGATATTGTGTATTGAACATCTCTCACCTTGTCATCAGGCCAGGAAAGAAATCCTTGACACTGAATTGGAGTTGTTTACCAAACAGAGCACTGGGGAGGATACATCAAATTTAAAACAGAAACTCAACGAACTCACTAAACAGGTATGTGTCTTTCATTGTGTCAGTCTGAAATTTAAAATTCTGAACAGGCTGCTAGATACACATGGATAAACACTTTAAAGTGCCAACGGCCATATGTCAATGTATGGATAAATGAGTTACCCTTACAAAACTGACCTATGAACATAAGTGGAATGATAGAAATTATTTTTGCCTTTGAACTCACTGATGATGTTTAGAAAACAATCCTGAAATGTTGACACTCAAATCTGATGATCTGCAAGAAATGCTGGTTCTCATTTTTAAAGTTCTGGAATTGATTTTTTAGGATGTAGTGTCAATTATTCCACAATTATTATAGTGAATGTGCAAAATTACACTCTTAACACTACTGCTTGACCCTAGCCACTACCAATACACATAAGTGATCGAAATACTAACCTGTCCATATCTGGTGTACCTGTCCATATCTGGTTTACCCGTCCATGAATCTGGTATAACCTTTAATATAGAGTGAACAACTTATTGTCTATATTGTTGATACCAGGCATCAGCGATGGGTCTTCTTGGCAGAGGGCGTGGTCGGGGTGTCCCCCGTGGACGGGGATCTACCACCTGGGTAGCCAGTGGTCTGAGGGGTCGGGGACGTGCTCAGAGAGGAAGAGGGAGGGGATCGGGCTTCCCTCCTGGTGGAAACAGAACCTTGGACAAAAGACCAAAGATGGTGGAGGTGTCTGGATTCGACCTGGAGGAAAAAGACGGAATCCATTCTCACTTTTCAGTAAGCTCATATATTTTTTATTCACGTTTCTATTCAGCACTATTTCATTTGAATGCAAAGCCATTTCGTATCTTCCGTACTATTTCACCTGAAGTAACCAGATTTGGTATGCAAGTACATCATGGGATGCTGAGTGCAATGTACAAGATGGTAACTCTGACCTTTGATCTTATCCTTTGGGAAAGTTAGTCCAGGGCCTATTTTACATACTATTTCACCTGGAGTATGCAAGTACATATTTGGATGGCAGAGTGTCATGTGCCAAAAGTAGGTCACTTTGACCTATGGTTTGACCTTTGTAATTATTGTGTGAAAAAGTACAAAAAGTATGACATTGTGAACTATATATCCTGTAATAGGTGTACAGCTCCATAAATATAGAAACCATTACTGATGGGGGACTAAGGACTGCCTTGCAATACCATGCCTTGTATTTTTTCAGATCCTGACATGCTGTGTTTTTCAGCTATTGTTACATACAAGTTAATAGTTTGTGTGTGATTATCTGGACCAGCACTCTTAAGAAATGTGATCACCATGCAAGAAAGTTATGGTTGAGATAACATGGGTTAATTTTTCTTTCTTTGTCCATCTCAGCAATTTGGTACAGTTGAAAAGGTGGAATTTGATGAGGAGTCTCAATCAGCAATCATCTCCTTTCAAACAAGAATGGATGCAGAAATGGTAAATTACTTATTCAACATCAAAGAGTAATTTTGTGATACCTATAAAAAAAAAATTGTTAAAATCAGCTTGGCCTTATAATACAATCATCATTGCATCAATCAAGAAGGTATCTTGAAATACAACAAACAACTTGATATCATATACAGGGCTAGCTCTGGGTCTTGATTCAGTTTCGCTAAATTTTGATTTGTGAACAAACAGTTGCGCACGACCATGGACCATAGCCCCCTCCCTTTTAATTTTAATTTATAAATTCCATTATATGCATTCTAATGTATCCTAGACAAGAAATCAATAAATAAAATGAATTATATTTTCTATGTTTTATGACCAAAACAACAAAAACACTGCAAATAATTTGTTTTTATTTATTTTTGTGACATTCCCTGGCCTCCTGCATCCAAACAGGCTGCTCCATGTTGCTAAAGTGCCAGGAAGAGAGATTTCATCTGTTGATATTAACATATATATATTGGAGCATATCATTTCATATTAACATATATATATTGGAGCATATCATTTCAACCAAAACTAAAGGCTGATCATTTGGGAATTTCCCATCCTATCACTAGTTTTAATAGTGGTTATTTATTTCCATATCATCAGTTGATACTTGTTAGTCAAAAAAACAATTCGTTAGCAAAAATGTCAATTTATTCACATCTTGTAAGAAAATTGTATATCGATGACTAAAAACAAAATATCGGCAAATTGTCGTCTCGAGCACTGTGCAAGAATAACACAATTCAAGTGGATTATGTCGTTTTAAGTGCCCTGGTAAATATATCTTGTTATTGTTTATCAAAATTAAAGAGAAAGTCGTTAAAAATATCCGGACTGCGTCTAATATAAACGCACCTGTGTACGTGCCTCATTATCGCCAGGCATCACTTCACGGGACTGATCTACTCTACTGTAATTAAATTAAAACAACCCTTTTCTCGACCCTAACTTACCTCAATGTTCTCCACAGTGCACCCCTATGAACAAGACAATGTAGCTATAATTGGATAATTGGCAATTTTGATTACAGGTGGTGTTGTTGTGTTGACAGGTGACCTTTTGTTAAAACAAAAAAGAGTTCCAATACCTGACCTTGCCATTTATCGGAAATGCAGTCATGCCTGACATTCTAGTACACAGAGATCACAGGAAAATTACCTGTAGCAATTGCATTAGAAACAGTTATTGCCAAAGTTTTTTCTATGGTCGACAGTAACTTAAATGAAACTCACCCATCTGCATTTTCGCCAAGAGCAGTTTCAAATCGCAAATCATGTTTTTCTTTCGCCAGTAGCGACCACCAGCGCGAGTCCTGATATATGTTTGAAAATATATGTTTCTAAATAAAATCTACATTTTGCCTTTGTTATGGCAGGTGAATTGCCTAAAGTTAAGATACAGCAAATATAATTATACAGGAATCATACAGTCAAACTTGTATGAAGTGAGGCAGTGTTTTCTTCAATAGTTCTGAGATTGTGTTATCGTTTCTAGGCGGTGTTACGTGGTTCCAAGTTCAACAACACTGTGCTTGCGATGAAGTGGTACATTGAGCCAAAGGTGGTACTGAACCTCAACATCAGCAGTGATGACAGCTTCGTTGGAGAGGACCCTGCTGAGGAGGTAATTTATAACACCTAATCCTATGGCAACGCACAGTCAGTACTATACCAAACTAGAAAGCATGTTTTCTGTAATAATCATCATGATAAGCATTCATATATTTGATGTACCCAGTAGTATTTATATCACAAAAATGTTTATATTTCCAGGCCTTTTAGTGCAAGGACAATTTCAGAAATAATAATGGTCTGGGAGACGGTTTCTTTAAGGTCCTCCATCAAATGTAACTTTTTCCTTGTGTATACTGTACAAATGTTTAGCAAGTATTATACCACCTATCGATGAGTCTCCCTGCCCTAACAGGTATTCATATCTGGAAAAAAAAAATGATTTGATATTGTGAAGAATTTCTTTTCAAGTTGATAGCCTGATAGTTACTGTAGTAGATATTAAGATGTACCATCTCTGATGTAGACAGGGATGTACAATTTCACTAGACCAATTCCGGGGCTAGTAGATGTTAATCTTAAGTTAGTTCAAATTTTCAGTATTTGCTATGAAAATAGGTCTGCTAGTAGAACTTTTCAAAATCAAACTGCTGGCTAGTATCCAACTAGGACATTGTGCAGCCTGGATAGATCGACAATGCGAGTGTACTGACCCTAACCTACTGTTTGTGTGTTTACAGGTATCTTTAGTTGACGATGAAATAGATGAGGATGCTTTACTTGCTGGAGATGATGACGAAGAAGAAGATGAGGAAAGTCGTTCATGGAGGCGATAAGAACAGACTCCCAATCCTGGAGGGGATGGAATTAATGTTTTGTTTACTCTAGGCATTCTAAAATGTCCCTGATTTGTATATAATTTTTGTATCATTTACCTACGAATGTATGACATTCAGTGAATTGTGACACTGTGATTGCATGTAACAGAGATTTGAGAGTAAAATGTGTGAGAGTTCAGATCCCCGTACTGTAGTCAATTGGTACGGCTTCTTGATTCCAATTAAGACTGCTGAGGTGCGTGATCAGAGTTTAGTATGGTATGTTAGCAATGCTTCTGCGAGTGCTGTGTTCACTATGTAGACCTGAATGACATGAACTTCCCCACAAGATTTTCCACTAACATCATGTGTTCGATTGGTGCAATAGGACTAGCATGTATATATCGCTTGCAAGCAGTGTCATTTGAGAATGAATAAATCTGTTTCAGTTTATCTCCTGGGTGAACACTATACATACCTCACTTGATGTATGTTAAACTCGTTCTCATCTTCTGCCGTGAAAAAAATGTAGAGATCCAGTAGGTGATAATTGGTGCATTGTAAATATTCAAAATGTGAAGAAATGTACAGAGAATGTGTAAATGGTGAAAACAGGTTTAGGTTTGGGGGCTGTATGGAAGATAAAATATACTATTTATTTAGTTGGAATGTTTTGAATGTTTAAATGTTTGTAACTGTGAGTTGTTAGGTGTTTAAACGGGGAACATACCATTATTGTGTTAAGTACACATCATGTATGAAAGTGTTATTACAATGTTTTTGTATCACAGTGGGTTATAGATTGCAAAATCAATCAATCAAACTGGCCTTTACAATAAAGAGAAAGTGGGGGAGTTGTTTGTATCGGTGATATCAAATATAATAATATTGAATTACGTTTATGAAATAGATGTTTGTTAAATCTTTTAACCCTGCTGTGTTTTGAGATCAGGGTTTTGCCCATCCGTTACTTTGATAAGAGGCTTGGAGTATGTGTGTCTACAGGGATTATTCCAGATTTTTAATTGTTTATTTATAGAATTGAGTTGTCATGAAGGTTTGTCTGAGTATAGATATTCATAAAGTGTACTTATCATGGTAAAAAATAATGAATTCAGACCGTTTTACAGAGATCTTAAAAAGTTCAAATCTAGGTACACTGCATTGGTACAGCAACTTAAATCTGTATGTAACTTGAAAATGAAAAGGTTCTTAAGTTATGTTGGTTAATCTGAAATGATGGAATTGTAACATGTTTTCCCCCTCTCTAGTAGTCCAAGATTCAAATCTTGAGGTATTTCACTGGAATGCCTGCTCTCGCCAAATCACCTTTTTATTTTCAATTTTAATATTGTAACAGCATTTTATACTCAGATTTTTTTTAATATCAAATAATACAGCATTTGAACAAGGTGGTATTCATAAATTGTTTAAAAAAGAATGGAAATGACTTTTAACAATACATATTGAAATTGAAGTGGTTTTATTCTTGTTTACGAGCATGGAGTAACCCCAGCATCCTGTCTCATTGATATACCTCTACCAGCACTTATATGATCACTTCAGGAATAATGTTCTATTGTACCAAAGAGAGCTAGTCATGGGGTTACAAAGAAACACACTGTTGAAATTAATTAATTACTTCATGCAGCTTTCAAAGGAAATGTTAACTTAAGCAATGTTTATTTTTGTTCTGTATTGTACTAAATAGTCATGTTGAATGTGTTAAGAAAAACACACCTGTTCGCTGAACATATTACTATAGAATATTTTATATCAGGCTTCAGAGTTTATAACATTTCATAAGTTAGACAATTTCATATAACATGACCCGGAATTAGTGACTATAGTGTTGATCAGTCGCATAGAAAATAAATAATATAAAGAAATATCTTCTCTGTCTGGAAGTCAATTTAGAAATTTGAAGCATGCAACTTTTATTTGAATGAAGCAGATTGTTGGTATTAGAATGGATAAAACCAAAATGCAAACACTTACAGAAGGATGTTATTTTTGTGTTGGTACCAATGGTGCAGTTTGACACTCAACATGACTATTTACTGATATTTACATAAGTAAGTTCATAGTAGAACAGATTTTCATTTGTATTTATAGACATGTAATTGTTGATGTTTATTAAAACAGAAAAAAGAAATGATGCAAGACAAAAAAATACATGAGTGGAAAAAAATGAACCACATGAAAAAAAGTCTTGCCATAATATTTTGCATGATGTACTAATGATGATTTGTTGAAAATGAAAGAAAAGACAATGTTGACAAGAAAACAAAAAATAAAGTAAACAATGAAAAGATGTGGAAAAATCCACCAAAAAAATTCTCAAAAAGTATCTTGAGAACGCCTCGAAAAACGCAATCCCACTACCCTCACCCAGTCCAAATCACCCCTATCAATCTACAGAGAAGTATACCCCATTACAGTCGCTCATCATAACACCAGGGTGTCTGGAGGTGGCCACTTTATCCTACCTGCTTGGTGGCATCTCTCCATCACCGACACTCCCCACAATGGCTGATGTACCATATGTAAGTAGACCACCACAATGTAAGTATCAGTTTCAGTAAGAGGTAATTGTTTATTGACGTGAAAGATAAGAATAGTGTCAACGTTTTGTTCCTCTACAAAGTAATGAATATTCCTTGTTGCCTGACAGAAATATGTCCTGCCTAATGGTTTAATCATTGAGCTTATATCCACACTGTTATATTCCCCATCTTTAAGTTGAATGATACAGTTTTATGCGTAAATGATTCTTGACTTTAACAAATGTGTATTTACATGACCATTTTTCATCTTTCACAGGTTGGAAGAGTTTCCGAGGGAAGTACTAGATTGAAAATCTCTAGCGAAAATCAAAATCCATGTAAAAGTATTCTTTCGTAGGTAGAAGGTGATTTTAACAAACAAGTATTTTTAGGTCACCTGAGCTTTGCTCAAGTGACCTATTCTAATCGCTTTCTGTCAGTCGTCGTCCGTCGTGCGTAAACTTTTAACATTTTCAACTTTTTCTCAAAAACCAGTGGATTTATTTTAAACTTGGTCAGAATCATCCTTGGTAGATGAGGCTACAAAATTATAAAATTGGGATTCCTACCACAACCCCTGGGGCCAGGGCGGCGCCCCAAAGAGAAAATTAACCAATATTTCAAATATCTTCTTCTTCAGACTCAGAGGTACTACAGTCATTTTCTCTGGATGGAAAGAAAGATCATCAGGGGTTTAACTTAAATTGTAAATTTCAGGACCACCGAGCTAATCGTTCTCCCTTGGGGAGGGGGTAAAGTTTACTATAGTTTATATAGGGAAATAACACTTTTGGGTATATTTTGACAACTTTCTGAAGGAAATGATTTTGACTTAGTGAGAATCATCCCTGGAGGAAGATGGTTTCAAATTGTAAAATTGGGATTCCTACCACAACCCCTTGGGCCAGGGCGGCGCCCCAAAGGGAAAATTAACCAATATTTCAAATATCTTCTTCTTCAGACTCCGAGGTACTACAGTCATTTTTCTCTGCATGGAAAGAAAGATCATCAGGAGCTTTACTTAAATTGTAAATTTCAGGACCCCCGAGCTATCCGTTCTCCCTTGGGGAGGGGGTAAAGTTTACTATAGTTTATATAGGGAAATAACACTTTTGGGTATATTTTGACAACTTTCTGTAGGAAATTATTTTTACTTAGTGAGAATCATCCCTGGAGGAAGATGGTTTTAACTTGTAAAATTGAGATTCCTACCACAACCCCTTGGGCAAGGGCGGCGCCCCAAAGGGAAAATTAACCAATATTTCAAATATCTTCTTCTCCAGACGCCGAGGTACTACAGTCATTTTCTGTGCATGGAAAGAAAGATCATCAGGGGCTTAACTTAAATTGTAAATTTCAGGACCCCCGAGCTATCCGTTCTCCCTTGGGGAGGGGGTAAAGTTTACTATAGTTTATATAGGGAAATATCACTTTTGGGTATATTTTATCCATTTTCAGAAAATTACTTAAACTTAGAATCATCTTTTGTGAATGATAGTATTACTTTGTAAAATTGGGATTCCTGCCCAATCCCCAGGGGCTAAGGGGGGGCCCCAAAGGGAACATTTACCAACATTTTCAAATTCTTATCCTTTGATGACACGACAAGTATTGTATTTCAATTAGTTTACATGCTGATTTCCACATCACATTTAAACAATAAAATAAAGCTACCAGTACCTATAAAATAACTCAGGTGACCGCTAAGGCCCTTGGGCCTCTTGTATTGAAAGTACATCGTTTACAAACAGCGAGGACCTCAGCAGTAAAGACATGGTGGAAATTTCCCTTGAAAGAAAAATGTTATATACTTATGAAGAGAATATGCAGGTAAACAAATCGGGTCCTTGATAAAAACCTGTAGCCACACACCGTAGGACAGGTAAGTTGAAATATGTGCAGGTATATATACAGGAAAGACGTATTGTACTTACAGGCCACATGCTGAATTAGAGGTTTATGCAGGTCCAAATGTGTACACATGTATAAGCATACCTAAGGGAACACTACCATAGGAAGCTTGAATATGTGAACAGATAGGATATACTTAAAGACAAACAAAACCTTAATTCAAACTCAAAATCTGATGAAACCAGGGCAAATATATTGTGGGGAAAACTTTCACATAGACTCTGAAAAGTGCAAGGAAAATACCAGATGTTCCGAAATGGTAACTGTCTTCAGCTTCACCAACCAAAACAATCCGATAATTATATATCAACTCCAAGTAATGTCATGTCCTCTTAGCAGGAACCGGGGTAGTGACATAGAAAAGCAAGGCATACTAAGGAGCTTAATAAGAAATAATTGATCTTGTTTCACACAATAAAAAGAATTGATTTCATGAAAGACTAATCCAGACAATTAATGGTCAAAAAGAGGTAAAGTTTATTTGTGTGCCCTATAGTAATCTGTCTGTCTGTTCCTGGCTGATAACTTTTTGACATTTATTGACCGATGTACATGAAACTTGGTCAAGATGTTCAGTTCACAAAAATACACATTGAAGTAAAAAGTCAAGGTCAAAGTCATTAGGTTCAAAGGTCCAGGTCAAATTTTGCATCTTCTCACTGATGAACATTTTGTTATGACTTGATGAAGCAAAGTTGATCATAATTAAACAAGGAGCAACTGACCAAAGGTCAAGGTCAAATTTTGTAGCTTTTCACTAATGAGCATTTTACGACATTATGAAGCAAAGTTGTTTGGAATTAAACAAAGAGATACACTGAGGTAAAAAGTCGATGTCAAATGTCAAGGTCATTAGGTTCAAATGTCAAGGTCAAATATTGCATATTTTCACTGATGAACATTTTGTTATGATATGATGAAGCAAAGTTGATCAGAACTAAACAAGGAGTCAACTGACAAAGGTCAAGGTCATTGGGTCAAAGGTGAAGGTTAAATTTTGTATCTTTCCCTGATGAACATTTTTGTTATGACATTATGCAGCAATGTTGGTCAGAATTAAACAAGGAGTCAATTGACCAAAGGTGAAGGTCAAATTTAGTATATTTTCACTGGTGAACATTTTATTTTGACATTTTGAAGCAATGTTTGTGGGAATTAAACAAGGAGTCATTTGACCAAAGGTCAAGGTCAAATTTTGCATCTTCTCACTGATGAACATTTTGTTATGACTTGGTGAAGCAAAGTTGATCATAATTAAACAAGGAGCGACTGTCCAAAGGTCAAGGTCAAATTTTGTATCTTTTCACTAATGAGCATTTTACGACATTATGAAGCAAAGTTGTTTGGAATTAAACAAACACATGCACTGAGGTAAAAAGTCGATGTCAAAGGTCAATGTCATTAGGTTCAAAGGTCAAGGTCAAATTTTGCATATTTTCACTGATGAACATTTTGTTATGATATGATGGAGCAAAGTTGATCAGAACTAAACAAGGAGTCAACTGACAAAGGTCAAGGTCATTGGGTCAAAGGTGAAGGTTAAATTTTGTATCTTTCCCTGATGAACATTTTGTTATGACATTATGCAGCAATGTTGGTCAGAATTAAACAAGGAGTCAATTGACCAAAGTTGAAGGTCAAATTTAGTATATTTTCACTGGTGAACATTTTATTTTGACATTTTGAAGCAATGTTTGTGGGAATTAAACAAGGAGTCATTTGACCAAAGACAAAGGTCAAGGTCAAATTTTGCGTCTTCTCACTGATGAACATTTTGTTATGACTTGATGAAGCAAAGTTGATCATAATTAAACAAGGAGCAACTGACCAAAGGTCAAGGTCAAATTTTGTAGCTTTTCACTAATGAGCATTTTACGACATTATGAATTTTTGCATCCTTTGCGATTATTTTTGAAGTCAAAATGTAAAACGTCAAGCTCAGCTATATGGGCAGATTGCTTCTTGATGATTATGGGGGATATATTGCCACAAGACGGGGCCCTTACTGACCTGTCAGTGGTCAAGTTGGGTTCATTTTCATTTGGGTAAAAATCAAAACGATTCTAAAAACAAGGGATGTAGGCGCCGTATCGTAAGATCTGCATTTCCGGTAGTTCAATCTAAATTGGATTTGTTTAACTAACTGTTGGATCGGTCTCTTGTCAAAAGTAAGTACATCTCATAGCAACTGATGACAACTCATATAACTGGGTTTGACAGTGTATTTTCAAATTCTAGTCGTTCACCTATTTACTAAAACAGTTATGTTTGGAACGAGAGAGATCGTTGTGTTCTGGCAGCCACATCCTCTGATAAAGCGAATCAAGGTCAAAATGGAAATTGCACAACTAGCAAACAAGAAGACTAACTTGCAAAAGGGAAAGTGCATATTGAATTTTAGAAAGAAATATCAAGAACTTCTTGAGAAATAACGTAGCAAACATTAAATGTCAAATTCCACGGTAGCTACTTTGTTGCCATCTTCATGCAAAACTAGTAAATCTGCAATGATATTGAACTTGGATACGAAAAGATCTGCTTAAAATGTACTTATTGAAAAATAGTCATAACAACCTTGGGCTGCCGAACTCAAAAATGGCTGTCCGGTAGCTATCCTGTTAATTGATTTTCATTTGTATCGAATAATGCATACAAGTCCTGGATACGTCTGTCCGTAATCATGTAAGGCTAGTGAATCTGATATTTTCACAACTCTTTTAAAAATTACAAAGAATTTCTGGATTCAATCGATACTTTGGAACGAAAACCAAGGCACGTACAGTGAAAGAAATTCAGAAAATATCAGAATTTTTATTTATTAATAAAGTTAAAGTTCACCAACAATCAGGATTTCCGTTGTAGATGTGGACTGCTGACAGACAAACTAACAACAGTATTTCGAGAGATAGAGGTTCACTCTTATGGGGAATGTCATTTAACGCTTTGGTTATCTTGGACCCCTCATGTCCAGCCCCTAGGCTTTGTCGCTAGCATGACTTCTTGTCGTCATCTGAGGATCATTTTAAATGACGGTGAAATTTCACGTAATATATTCAGAGGAGTTGCCATTGAAGTGTTAGAGAAAAATGCGCGGCCAGACCGGGATTCGGGCAAGGGGCCTCCGAACTGTTACATATGCTCTACCCACTTAGACGTAAAACGATTGGCAAAAGGTAATCAAATAGATCACATGACCTAAAATGAGTATTTCAGCAGTTACAGGAATTTCAGATCCAGAATTTGGTAAGTTTGTTGCGTCATGACGTTTCATCTCATATTGTGGCCTAAACGCAAGTTATTTTCAATTTTTTTCTTTAGTAAGGATATATACATGTATAAAGTGTCACTAATTTCAGCAATGACATGAACTTTGAATCTAGGATTCTTCGGCAGGTTTGACGAGTCGTCATATCACTCCACATATGAATGATACGATCTCTGGTAGAGCACAATGCAGGTACGTAATTTAAAGGTTGATATTATAAAATTCACAGTATGCTACCCCGTATTCTTTCCAACTCTGATTTACCAGCAGGGTTGAAGAAAATATATTAAACATAGCTATATGTCCGTATCAACATATCTATATATGTTAACCCTTGGGAAAGAGAGTCCAACACTAAATTTCTTGTGAAATATCACATTTTATTTGGATTTCATATACAAAAATAAATGTAAAACACCATAATCCAAAATTTCAAACTTAACAAAGAAAAACAGATTTATGGATTGTGCCCATGTTTTGGATTACATTAAATACAGTAAACATGATTGATATACGTATGATTGTATTCACATTAAGTAGAACCCAACTTTTATACATAAAATTGTCATGTTATGATTTATGGATTGTGCCCATGTTTTGGATTACATTGAAGTAATTGTAACATTAAATACAGTAAACATGATTGATATACATATGAAATAATTCACTTTAAGTAGAACCAAACTTTTATACATAAAATTGTCATGTTATGATTTATGCTTATTCAGAATGACATTTGTAAAATTCAGAATGTTGTACATCAATACAATATGTACTCTGGAGTGCAGTCTTGAAATATCAAAGTTTTTGTTTTCATATATCAGAAAATTGATTTCCTTGACTACTCGGGTTCCCTTCTGTAATTCTTCATGTTTTATCCTAATTTTCCTTCTCAAAATTCAATACCAACGACCCTATATATATATACGGAGTCCTAATAAAGAGATATTTTACCCTGGAGTAGGATGTATTTGATTCCACAGTAATGAAGACTGCCGCGCCCTTTGGTCCCAGATTCCCCATTATTCTGTGTTAAACGCACCAAAGTCGCACAATACCCTGAAGACGTAATGGTCGACAGTACTGTGTCCACTTCAACAAAACATTGATTAACTTGAATTTGGTTGCATTCTGTCAATACCTCATACTTTTATGAAACGCATTTGTCTTCAGCGTTAGCTTTCACGTGAACAAAACACGATTGTCATTTTCAGGGGGGATGATGGAATAGAAAATGATAAATTATTTAACCATAATACGCTTAGTTTATACACAGGACCCAAAACAAAACTGGTACTTATAACAGGAAGTTTTAACTACAATCTATACAGAGACATTATACAAATAATTTCCCCGAAAGCACGCATGCACAGCAAACATGGAGGGACGTCCTTAAATGACCTTAGCTGTTGACAGAACGTTAAGAAATAAAACCAAAACCATACCTCCCATCATTCCAATCTGTTAATTTGATTTGTGATTGAAAACATTACTTGTAGCTAGGACTACGAATAAAGCAAACAATCTGGTCCAGTACATTATAAGACAAGACTATTTCAGTCTCTAAAACAATCATTTGATATATATATTGGAATGTAATAGAGTGACAACTATAACAATTCTTAATTAACAAAAATGTGTGAAAAGCAGCTTATTAAATAGGAATTGGTTATCAATGTGAGTGACACCATGGAATTAAATAACAGGTTAATTGGCTGAAGAAAAACAAATCGGTTTCATAACGATTAAAACGCACACTGTGGGTCATTATCCCGGCTAAAGCCTAGCTGATTTGTTATTAGTGTCTTACTAACCTGGAATGCATGGTGTATATAATCTAAGTTTCAAATACATTTTTTGTCATGTTAGCAGCAGCTTTCTGCACCAACTTAACAAATATTACTTCGTGAGATAATTCTGATAAAAATGAAAGACGAAGTCAAAATATCAAAGCATTAGAGATTTACTTTTTCCTGACTAGCTGCAACTTCATTTCCGGGTCATACGTTCCTGGCTATGCTTTTTCTGAAATAACAAGTTAAATATAGTTTCATTTTCATGATTCATACTTAGGTAGCAGTATACTTGGGTAGCAGTAGAAATGGCCCGACTCTGATAAACAAGGCACATGTCGAGGAAATGTAAACACAGCGGATTTACCCTACACAACACATGTATACATGTATATATATTTGTAAACTGCATTACATTTACAATACATATAAAGTACTGAGAAGTGTATAAACCTCTTTTTTCTATGTATGTCACTTGTGTGAAAACCATGGTAACCCCATCAAAAATTACCAAAATATGCCAAAATTGTAAAGTTGTAAAACTTGATTTTTTGCAATTTTGCGTCGTGTGCTGTTGTCAAAATTTTACCCCCTGTAAAGCTTGCTTTTCATGTGTTTTTTTTTTTTTTTTACAAATGTGAAGCTCACATAGCCCACTTCATCATGCTTATACCAATTTTAGTTCAGTTTTATTTTCATATTTTTTTTACATATCATTATACAGGGGTTAGCCATTTAACAAAAATATCACACATGGCCACAACCCTCTACTGTATACTGCTACCTTATGACTCTATAATTGTCTACAAACCTAGACTGATAATGATCATTCGTCTGATGACAATTACATCTAATATCAAACCTCACAACACTGATCAGTGAAACAAGAAAACTGCGAATTCAAAAATATGATTTATTCCCTATTCGTTTACAACCATTGAAGTCAAATCGCGAAATTAGTACTCAAAAATCACTTATTCCCTGCCCCCTTATTCAGTTGTCCTCCTTATTCGGTCACCGACGGACTTGACTTGTGTCTATAGCCAGCCTCTGAGTGGTTCTGATACAACTGAACTTACCTGTGTCGGTACTGTGTGAATAGCCAGCCTCTAAGGAATGGGACAATGAGACTGCCAAGTAAGATCTGTGATGGATGATATACCAGGAGGGGAATAGCAATCACGGACATGGACGGGTCACCGCTGAATATTATCTTTATTATAGGAATACCTGCAAGTAAATCACAGATTTGGGCAAAGCAGAGATTTACACGGAGACACAAAGAAAGTTCTAGACATCGACCAAGTGTTCCGTAATTAGGTAAGGAAACGTCTTGTTCTTCGTCAACAATACCCGCATTGTAAATCTATATCAAAACTAAATTATGTCACGTCAACAAAACAAGGAACACTTGTGAGCAAAATAAAAAGCATCGCCCTTCATATCATGCATGTTTGGAATCCCTATGTGGTTAGTCTATGCACCAGCAGTCGACACCTATCACGAAAATCATGAATAGCAAGCTATTTCGTCTTTGCGTATTGCAGAGTGATCTTCTCTTGTGAGCAGGTATTGATTGTTGCGTCATTGGTTTGTGTGAGAAAACTACGTCGTTTTCTCAAAAATTAATGACGTTACTCTCACAAACAAATGTCGTAACAATCAATACCTGCTCACAAGAGCAGATAACTCTGCAATATGAAAAGAAGGAATTGAATACCGAATCACCTGCGACATGTAAACATCATGCATTTGTAGGTCGGGTAAGCAGGGATGCTGCTATTGATTAATGATGTCCGTTATCGTAAAGCTTAGTAGTAAGCCGGAAGCCGTTCATGCAAGTCGTGTAAGTAAACATCGTGGAAAGCGGCTTTTAAAAAGTAGGAAAGGATATAATATATAATGTCCTTAAATAATTTTAAGCTCATGGGGTATACACGATCGACGTTGTCAATAGATCTCTCATTTTTGAATGACAGCACAAATCGCCAATATATCTGAAAGTGAAATTGAATGACTTGACTAGGTGTCTGTTAACAGTCCTAAAAGACTCTTCAAGAAGTTAAGCCGAAGATAAAAACGAAAGTAAGTCAGCCTGAAGTAGGACACAGTTTGAACATATTGTCAACTAGGAATTTCAATTCAATCTTTATATTTGTATCGCCATAACGTTTACCTCTACTGGAAAAGAAAGCTTTCGTACCAAAACAACGAAAAGTATTGGAAGAAGAAACATTTTTTGAGGGGAGGAGGTTCAAGATTGAGTTAATGATTTAGAGTTCGTCAAAAGTGAATTATATTCTTGAGTGTACAGTGTCACAATACGGCTATAGACCTTATTTAATGGTACCGAAAATGATAGCAAGAAGTTTGGATAATGGCTTGGTTCAGCAACTAGAACAGCCAGCGAAAAAAAATGTGTATAAGGATTCTTGTGATTTTTCGTAATGCAATACAAACGTGGTAGGTCTGTATCAATAGTATTAATGGATATTTGGAAAGATCGTTATACACAAAAGTGATATTAAAAATTTCGAAAAATTAGAAATATTAAGGTAGGGTTTCCGTGGTTATCAAGCAAGTCCGATTCTTTTTGCAAGCAGGCAATGTAATAGTGTTTGCAGACAAAGATTAAGTTATGGAATGCCTTGCCTGCAGACACAGCTACATAACATGTAATGTAGATTGCTAAGTGTGGTTTGGACATCGACGTCAAGAACTACGTACAAACATGTTTTTTTGTTTTCATTTTGGATTTGAAGCAGGTAATTCTTTTTATCAAAGACAGACCCCGATATTTCATCAGCTTGGAAAGTGAATCCAATTTAGTATTCTCACGTTATGTTGGACTTGATAATCTGACCCTCTCTGAGAGTGATTCCAAAGTAGCCTGCGCTCTACGTTCATCATGCGCTAGATATGTCCACAGTGGAACTACAATTCAAACTTACAGGCGATTTAACTCGTGCAAAATATTGGCAAAAGGGATATTTAGCTGGAGGTCCAGAGAAGTACAAGGAAAGTTGAGGGAACTATTTTGGAAGGTAAGGTAAACACACATCGAAATCACAAGGAACACCAACGAGCATGATTAAAATATTTCTAAATTCGATCATAACGATGACCATAAAACTGTTCTGGTCATTTACCTGCATATTCCGAAACCTGTTGTAGTAACGAAAATCGTGATATTCGTAGCAAGTCATTTAATACCGAAACAACTGCAACATGTATAAAAAAAAGGATCATCCATGTGTAAGCAACCACAATTCGAACTCAAAATAAATAAAACATTGAGACCCTTGAAAAAGTACAAAGTGACTTCGAGCGAGTATTCCGGAAGGGTAAGCGTCTCCTACTTAATCTAAGACACTCGCTATGTATAGCTAGGCCATATCGAAGTAATGTCAGTGAACACGGAACAGCAAGATACACCGTAATGGTATTTTTATTGGTAGGGTGTGATTATTTTGTCAGGGCTATTTTCTATTTACAGAAACAAATGCCTGTGGATATGGACATCTATCGCAGAAAACATGATATTGGGAGCAAGCTCCTGGATGCCGTATCAACTGCAACATGTTAACTCCGTTGGTTGGGAAGCAGTTTTATATGTATAAAATCTATCAAAATCAGAAAATCGAAATCATACAGAATAGTAGTGACCCGTCTTAGTTGTCAAGTACGAAGTAAAGATCAAGAAAACCAGCTGAAGAAGCTGTACTGTCCTACAAGTGTGGATATTCTTACTGACTTGTAGCTCAACGTAGTGTGACAGAAAAACAGGGAGGCTACAGTCAAGGAAGGTTATGTTCAAGACCAGCAAATCAAAATTGTGACATTTAGATTTGTTATAAAATGTCTTTGTTACTCGTATTACGTAAGTTTAAGAGGGAATTTATTTTGTACGATTTACATGGTCAATTTTTTTTCTTTTCAGACACATCTCATCGTCTATTTTTTTGAAAGAGAAATTTTGAGAATTTTGCAAAGTTTTGTTATCAGTCCTGGTAAACTCTTCAATATGTTCCTCCTCATATGACAAAAACGCAGATCAGTCGGCGGAGTGGCACCATTTGTTCCCATGCAAATAAATATAATCCGCCGCTTGCCATGCCATCAATGCCAATAAGTTATATTTTAATAAGAAATTATACATTTCATGTTTCAATCTACAACAGAATGCATCCTATTTCATGTTTCAATCTACAACTGAATGCATCCTGTTTGATGTTTCAATCTACAACAGAATACATCCTATTTCATGTTTCAATCTACAACAGAATGCATCCTGTTTGATGTTTCAATCTACAACAGAATGCATCCTGTTTCATGTTTCAATCTACAACTGAATGCATCCTGTTTGATGTTTCAATCTACAGCAGAATACATCCTATTTCATGTTTCAATCTACAACAGAATGCATCCTGTTTGATGTTTCAATCTACAACAGAATGCATCCTGTTTGATGTTTCATTCTACAACAGAATGCATCCTGTTTGATGTTTCAATCTACAACAGAATGCATCCTATTTCATGTTTCAATCTACAACAGAATGCATCCTGTTCACACTTTAGAAGGGTAATCTACCTACCCAGCGTGACCGACTTGTGTGTGGCACAGAACATTAGAGCCGGACAGTCCGCTGATTGGAATCCTGCTGACCTCCACGAGGAGACAACAAATATTAATGTCAACAAAATGGCCTGAATTATCACAACTGAAAATAGATAATAATATAGAAAATAGATATATAATATATAATATGAACTTTAATAATATTACAATAAATTTTAATTCTTATTACTCAAATGTATCTCTCCTATACTGCTGTCTAGTTTTTATTTATTTCACAAACATATATACGGATAACACAAACTGACTCACAGACAAAGCAGTAATGTTACAAAACGCTGACACAAGACCAGACATATCCATATCATCATTAGAGGACTGTTAAAAAGTGAAGTCGCAACTACTAGGAAGTTAAATGGATACTTACTGAGCAGTATGATAGACATGAGGTTTATGGCGTCTAAGTTGATATCCTTATGAGAAAATGTATCACAGAAGGTAGTGTATATAATAAGTAACAGAATTCCACTGAAAAGAAGAAAGATACAAATATTTCAATTAAGGTGTTGGCATGCAAACCAATTACAGATACATGTATTTGGATTTTTTATGCTCATAGTCAAAATAAACTAGGTTTGACTTTTGTTACTCGTCTTATATCTTATTTGGTTGAAGGTTCCTTATGTCAAGACTTGGCACTAAGTCTTTAGTCATACATACTTGTAAACCAACTTTTAGTCCTGATAGAAAGCATTTTAAATTGCACATAATTTACATGGAAATCGAGACAGAAATGTGACTTAGAATAGAAAATATCGGGATTTTGAAGTCTTCAGTGAGGACAAAAGAATAAAGTTAAGGTAAGTCTGAAATATTTAAAATAAATGAATTTATGCTATCTTTAATACATACAGTTTTGAACCACACAGATCAGAATACATCGCAATGCAGATTTTCATTTAAAGTAGATCTACATGTAGATTTCAGTACTGGTGGTTGTCTGCTAGCGCAAAACGTATGTTGAGCACGTGTGTAGCCAAACAAAAATAAATTCATCATTTCAAGAAATTAATCACCAAAACGCCTGTGTATTTTATTGATTATGCATTTATATTCAAGTACGAAATCGTACCCCTGTTGATGAAGGGAGGAAAATTCAAAATAACATAGCAGTCTATATTGCCGGGAAAATGTAAATATAACCCGTGGATGTATGAAAACTTGGTTGTGATTTTCGGGTGAGCCTGGTTTTAGCAGCCACCTGTCTTAAGAGGCCAATTTCCGCCGGTCCCTTGGGTGGCCTCTTTATACAGGTTTGACTGTATAAGGAAAATGAGTCTGTTCATACTTTCCTGACTTAAAGAAAGTAGTCATGTCCACACTTTCCTGTGGTAAAGGAAGGGAAGTAACCTTTTTTAGCTATGGGGAGTAACTCAATTTACTTTCATAAGTTGAGAGAAGTAACTATTCTTACCTTCCTATGCTGCCAAATGGTATATGTGTTCTCTCCAGCCATACTCTTACAAAGTGCCGCACAACCTGGCCAGTTATGAGTGGCACAACTACTGTCATACACAATTGGACTATGATGGTAGTGATGGGCACATCTGCTTGGGAACCTACCTACAATGTGCAGACATTTTTTTTAGATACTCCGATACCTGACTGCTCTTTGTTACTCAAAGTACAGACCAGTTTTATGCTCCAGTACTGGCCTGTTTTGTATATAATAATCTCAATCAAAATATTTCACAAGTTTGACTCAAATTTTACAGGATTATATAGAAACATTTAGAGAAATTTCTCAAGTGAATAACACAGCTTTGGTAATGTTTGTTTCCTGATCCAGAAGTTCCTTTAAGTGACATTGATAATTTCATAATAGAATATTTCAATAACAAATTCAGAAGAGAAATTTTAAGAAGACAAAAATTCAAATCAAAACAAAGTCTCTTTAAAGATTTTTTGTATGGCTTATGCAGCAATAGTTTTTCATTAAGAGACAGTCAGAGGAAAAGAACTTAAAGATTTAATACAAGATTTGGAAGATAGGGATAATGTAGATGTTGAGGAACTAAATGAGAAAAAAACTGAGTTAGAAAATATCAGGCTACATAAGATTAAGGGAAGTATTATAAGATCAAGAGCTAAATGGTTAGAAGAAGGGGAAAAGTCTACCAAATATTTTTTTAACTTGGAGAATAGAAATTTTACTTCTAAGATTATTCAGAAATTAGAAAAAGAATATGGAGAGATTGTTACAAATCAGATAGAAATCCTTGACGAAGTTAGATTATTTTATGAAAAACTATATGCAGCAGACAGTAATATAGAGGATGTTGATTTAGAAGATTATTTAGAAAATTTTGAAGTTCCTAAATTGAATAGAATAGAATCTAATAAATTAGAAGGTCTTATTACACTTGACGAAGCCTCTTTGACAATGAAAAATATGAAACATAATAAAAGCCCAGGGTCTGCTGGTTTCACTACTGAATTTTTTAAATGTTTTTGGAGACAACTTGGTGATTTTGTAGTTAGATCTATAAATTTTGGTTATGAAATAGGTCAACTTTCCATTGTTCAAAGACAGGGTATCATTACTTGCATTCAAAAAGATAATAAACCTAGTCCCTTCATCAAAAACTGGCGTCCTATTTCTCTTTTGAATATAGTTTATAAAATAGCTTCAGGAACAATAGCAGGTAGGGTAATAGCATTAGAAATTGGATTAAAGTTTTTCATTGTAATATTAGTTCTGCTATAAACCAAGGAGGTACTCTTTCTCAATTTTTCATTGTCAAAAGAGGCTGTCGTCAAGGTGATCCCATCGCACCGTATATTTTTATTCTTTGCGCTGAAATGCTAGCAATTCGGTTGAGAAATAACAGGAAAGTCAAAGGTATAAATATTAACAATTTTCCAATTATACTTTCACAATATGCAGATGACAGTTCACTTATACTAGATGGATCCGAGGAGTCGCTTACTGAATCTATAAAGGAATTGAACACTTTTGCTAGAATATCTGGTCTAAAAATTAATCTGAACAAAACACAAGTAGTATGGATAGGGAGTAAGAGATACAGTAATGATATTTTATTACCGGAAGTAAATCTTCAGTGGGGTGCAGAACAGTTTAAGCTTCTTGGAGTAGAATTTCATGTAGACCTACATAGGATACCAAAACTAAACTTTGATAAAAAAAAACTTGGTAAGCTTAAATCTATTATTAATTTGTGGAAAAGAAGATCTATTACACCTATTGGTAAAATACATGTCATGAAGTCATTAATGGTATCCCAATTTAATCACTTGTTTATTTCTTTACCAAATCCCAATGACAAATTTCTTCATAAACTCAATTGTATCCTTTATGAATTTCTTTGGAATGGTAAGGTTGATAAAATAAAGAAAGATGTTGTTGTTAAAAATTATAGAGATGGAGGTCTTAAGATGGTACACTTATTGTCATTTATAGAATCTTTAAAATTAAGTTGGATAAGGAGGCTTCTCCAAAAACAAGGCAAATGGCAGGAGATATTAAAAACATATATCAATATTGATCTTCTCTTTAACTGTGGTAATAAATATATATCTATATGCTAAAATACAAGTACAAATTTGTTCTGGAAAGATGTATTTAAAGCATGGAGGAGACTTTCTTATAAGGAAGATTTTGTAAGGGAAAAGGGACAATCGTTTTTAAAATTGCCTTTATGGTATAATAAAAGTTTAACTATAAATCAGAAGTGTGTATTTTATCCTGAATGGTTTAGATGTGGAATTACTATTTTTAATGATTTGATAAAAAAAATCCCCCACACTTTCTGCAGTATTATGGTATCCTTTCAGCTCTTAGAAGATATATTAATCAAAACAATATTGGGCATAATACCACTGTAGGCTTAGTGCATCCAATGATTCCCCTTAATTTGGATTTTTGTTTTACAAAAACACCAAAGGAGCTAATGACTTTTATGTAATACTTTCTGAAAATAAGATTATTCCAACTGGTAGGAAGAAATGGGGAGAAATATTTGACATTACGGACAACAAATGGGAGAAAATATATCAAATTCCATTTCGCACAACTACTAATACAAAACTCCAGTGGCTCCAAGTAAGAATTCTCCATCATATTTTGACAACAAATATATATCTATGCAAAGCCGGTCTCTCTAATAATCCTTTATGTGTTTTTTGTAATCTAGATAGGGAAACAATAATTCATACATTATGGGAGTGTGCCATTGTACAAAATTTCCTATACAGTTTTGAAACATTACTAGAAGCTTTAATTATCCCATTTTCTTTTAATAAGGAATCCTTCCTTTTTGGAATAGTGTCACAGTCAGGAATAGGCAACAGACTAGATAATGAAATTTTGATTATGANGAAAATTTTGTAAGAAAACTGGAAAGAGAATGGAAAAAATGGAACCACCGCCTGGAATTATAAGCCAAAATTAAATAATTTAATATCATCAAGTCAGCAGATACAATACATCTTCTCCCACAGTATAGTTCTCATTTTATATTTTGAAAATACACTGATGCATATACATGTAGCCAGCACACACTAAGTTTTCACAAGGACTTTTTTTTGACAGTTATGTCCCTTTTACCATACCTGTATTGAATCTTGCCTGAACTCCAAATATATATTTTTTGTTCCTTTTTTGTGAATCTAAGTTGATAATTCTGTCTGAACTTATTAAAGTTAATTTCTTTTATGATATAAATATATTTTGTCCTGAGTATTACCCTCATTTCTCAGTCACCTTTATATGGCTGTATTTACTTGCAGTTTAAAGCCGAAAGCACCTTACTGACAATTAATACAGAAGATTATCTTATAATCTTATTCTAAACCTAAAGTTTGTTTATTAGTTTCTCCTTTTTCTTCCTCTTTCTGTTGACTTTCTCCGTTTTTCATTGCTATTTTTTTTCGTTCTTCTTCTTTTCTATTCTCTCTCTCTCTCTGTTCTCATGAAGGCAATATATGTGTACATTGGTACCATTACATGTACTTGTGTCTAAATATATCAACTGATGTAAGTAAGAGTATATATGAGTCGTGTGAGGTCTGAATATATAATATGAACTGTTTGAATGTAAATATACCATATATTGCAAAAAAAACTTGAATAAAAAGAAAATTACANAAAAAGAGACTGTCAGGGTTTTCTGATACCATTACAAATGTATAGCATAAAAATCATTAAAATGAATTTTCAAATGAAAAAAATCATTATAATTATATAATAATCTTTTATAAGAAAAGAAATAATCCCTTAGTGTAAATAAGGGCCAGGAAGGAACTCAACTGACGGAGAACAATGACTGAAAAGTCACATCTAAACTAACAAAATATGATTATAAAACATAAAGCTAATCATCACTAAATCCTTTGGTGCACTTTAAACTTTGTAAAAAGCAATAAATGTTGCATATTCAATAAGGAAATTTAGACATCTTAAAGTATTGACCGAAACATTACACATATGTTTATATTTTGTTACTTACCACCATTAAAATGAGAGTTGGTGTCACAAATATACCCTGAAATAAGCCATCCAATAACATGAGTAAGTATACCAAAACATGTTCTTTAACAGCTAATCACCAATATTTACTATATTGTTTTATCAATTTAATTTATAAAGTTTTACTTATTTACAAAAGTAATGAATTTGATGGTAACAAAATATGCATTTAACTTAAATATATAGATTATTGTCTTTGAAAAAAAATGTCATCTTTTAAATATATTTTTTCAATTCAATGATAATCTGATATATGTTACAATTTCATTAATCAACTTTCCAGAGGATTTTGTATTGACCTGCTCCAAACATAAACACATTTAACAACAGAAAAGATCAACTTTGGCAGAATGAAGAACTTTTTCAGAACTAACTATTGGGCAAATGTAAATAACAATGAACTTTAAATCTGCATTATACAATCGTTTAACTTAGAGTCCAGTGTAGAGGAGCTCCATCAGATCCTGAACTGGAAACTAACTTTAACTAACTTAAACATAAGAATTCCACATACCAAAAAACTTCCAAAAGCTGAATTGAAAATAGCTGCAGCCTACAAATGTAAATGGTGAGAGATAGATAATATGAATTATAAGGCTGTATCTAAAACAAAATTGTAAAAAATATAAAAGTGATATGTGCAACTTTTCATACAATCAAAGTACAGTACACAAAGTAACATTTTATAGCGTTATTTTACATTTTTCATTGATATACAATTGAAAATGAAAATTAACCCTGGTACTATTTTACAAAACAAATGATTATTCTTTTTTTTAACATTTGAATAGGTTTTTCTATATATGAAAAACATCATTCAATAAAATACAAAAAAATATGCTCAGGCTATTTGAAAAATGATCAGGGCATTCATATTAATGAAAACTACATGCAGCACATTTCAGCATTCCTACCTGATTTCCATTAGCTGCTTTAGTCAGGATCACAGCAGAAGACACTGGCGGAGGCATGCAGCCAAGCACCTTAAGACTGAAACCAATTTACATGTATGATGTATTAGAGAGTTCTGTGGAAATCATATACAAAATGTACAATATTAATTACTGTTGGATTTGTTCATTTAAAATAGTTTTTTATACATCATGAAAACCAGATATATTTAATTTTACAATATCAATTCAATTTATCTTATTTACTGTTACACATAATAGGTGTTTTTTTATATATATATCCATTTAATATGTTCCACATATAGTCTGGATTTGATGATGCTGATATTTAGTGAGATTCTGTTGTACACATTGATTCAGAATTCAGAAACTAGAATCTCCATTGTAGTAGGTTAGACTTTAACTTAGTATACATCTGTAACTGGTGGTAAACAAATACACGACTTATCTAACCTTACCCTTCTATGAGGTCTCTATCAAATGGCCCTGGTGCTAGTACTGTAGCCAAAGTCTGCATCAACATTGGGAATACAATGAATGTGAAGCCTTGTATGAAAACATGAATCTTCACTTGGAAAATAGCCTTGGTGAATTCCTGAATTAAAAAAAAAAAAGACAATTGATTTTACTTACAAAATAGAAACCATGAAAACCATTGAATTGCATGACAACATCAACTGCCAATTTTATATATACTTGAACGTTTAATATTAATTAGTGAACTTTTTCATACAATATATATCATACAATACAATGAACAAATGAAATGTAATAAAATTTAAAATAATTCACGTTTGTTTAATCTTTGAATTTTGATGTACAATTTTAATTTTTAAATCTCAACAACATCTGGACTTCGTTGCTAACAATTTTTTCTTCTTTTTTTTCTCTCTCAATAATCTGATGAACTCAAATATACACATTTAAAGAAAAGGTGTCTCATATTTATGTTGCAAGTAAATCATTTTAAAAATTAATTGACGATTAGCAATTTCATCTGTTATTTGGTAAAAATACCATTATGCATTTTAGTTCGTCATGTTCTGTATTCCATTGTTTTGTAATTTTTCTAATTCGAAAATTTAAATATCTCAAAATGTTATTGTCTATAGTCCTCATGCCACTTCGAGACAAAAAAAAGAGATTGTATTAAGCTTTCTATTGGTTGTCGACTACTACATGTATTATCAACTTTATCATTATCTCCCTTACCTCTGTTTTCAATGACAGGCCACTATTAAAGAAAATGATGAACACAGCAAAATACTTTACTGTGATTTCTGGTTTCAGAATACCTGAGAAATAAAAATTTGGACAGTCATAATATGACATTAGAATAAGAAATCACGTCCTTCATTTAATCAACCGTTAAACAGTAAAAAAGACCCTAAAGTTACGAAAAAAAATTCACCTAGTCTACCTCGGAGACGAATATACAAAGTATATATTTATATCTCTGATTGGCCTCAGTGCGATATTTGCTAAATAAGTACATTAGAAATTCATGTTTTTGAAATTATTAGGAATTTTAAAACATCTAACCTCCCTTTGAACCGATATCAGGGTCGAATTTGGCAAAGATGATTACAAAGACAATTCCTATAATAAACCAATTGTTTCTCAAAATACTGAGAGGTGTCATTGTATCACATCTAGAAATGAATGGTAGGCCTATTCCACGTTGGCGGAAGTGCCTGACAACACCTTTTTTGTGTCATTACGCTTAGGACATATTTTTCAAACTTATTAGTTAAAAGGAACTTTACCTGCCTTAATATACACTTTTCTTACACATTTATGTGCTCATGTATTCTTTAATTGTAACAATAGTAACATTTTGCTTATACTGTAGCTAAAGGAGACAGTGCATTTTTCACATTTTATATATATCCATACGCATATAAACTTCCGGTGGTATGGCGGCCGACATGAATGCAAGACGGGACAAGCACAGCACAATCGCCTTCACGTTGCCGATTTCTTGTCAAGTTTGCCTTGGAAAGGTGGGTTTTCTTATTATTTGTTTCACACTTTTGTCGAAAACCACCAATTGTGTATTCGATCAATCGATCTAAAAGCAAAAATACCAAAAGCGTCATCGTATCCAAGGCCTGCGGCGGGATCGCTCCAACTGACAAGTTCTTGAAGTAATGATCATCCAGACTGATGTAGCCTTATAGTCATTTTGAGCTGTATTAACTCATCTTACTGAGTAACACTGATTGAAATTGTAAGTTGATGCATTCAGAACTTAACGAAATTTAAAGTGTATTCATATCTTATTTAAGACCTTCTTGTGATGTTTGATCTACCTACTACAACAATGTTAGAAGTTTACACGGCGAGATACTTTTGACAGGCGACGACCGCAGTCGGCAAAATCATATCCGATAGAAAAAAGACCAACCAGCGGCCTCTTATGTTATAGGAGTATTGTTTGACCATAAGTTAAAGTTCACGGATCACAAAGCTATGAAAGTGAAAAAGCAAACCGAGCTAAATAGAAATGATTTAAAGCACATTTACATGTTTGGACAAGGAAATATTTCTTCAATTATACAAATGTTTGTGAGACCACAATTTGCATGAATGTGCAAGTGTAATATATCCTAGTCACTTGCATGTTCATGTGTAACAGTACTATCAGTAGCCTGAGTTTCCTTTTGCCCTAACACCAGACTTAGACATTTTGACATGTATGTAGATGTCTAGTGTGGGGCCAGAGCGCACTGCTTTATGCAAACGTGGTCCAGTTCTGCTATACTAAGCACAAATGTGCTACAAAATTAGTAAGTGAGCTCAGAAACACATCTTACGAAAATCTTTAATGAATTTGGGTAGTACAATCTTGTTACAGATATGATCAAGCCAATATATAAAAGATATGATCGTTCAACTTTTTAAAATTTTACTCAGCTATGAGGCAGTGAACGCAGCCTAAAATTATTAAATATTGCAAACACATGTGAACACTCATTTAAACTAGGTAATTATAAGACATTCTCTGGAACAAGTAGCAGCCAAAAGTGTTTCCCATACAGAGTAGTAAACAAATGGTTCAGACTCAGCAGTTAGACTTTATATACAACCATGAACAGCTGCATGCCCAGTGAAAGACTTTTCTGAATGAATTGTGTAGATATTTTTAAATAGGACCAAAAAAAAGATTTTAGCTCACTACCTGGCCACCAGGATTAAGGTAACAGCTAGTATTAAAAAATTCCAGCACTGCCCATCCATATACTCAACTACAGCTGAGTTGACTGGAACAATCAGAGTAAAGTTTCTTGTTCAAAGATACAACACAGTGCCATGATGTGACTCGAACCCAAAACCCTTTGGTCATGAGCCGGGTATCTTACCACTACATTACTGTGTCTCATAATCATGATGGCAAAATGTGCAAACAATTTTAGACTGACATTGCTAAATGAATGTTGTCTACTGTAAATTTTCTGTCAATGATGCATACTGTTAATGTGGTAAGAATTGAAATAAATAAAAAATGGTGCACTGACTGAATGTCAGTCCAGGCTCTTTTATGTTTAATTTAGTTGCTGTTGTTTGTTTCCAGGTTTTTAATCCCATTCTAGTGTGTTTAACGTGACAACAAAGTTAGGGGTCGTATGTGAATAAATATTTTCTGTCTGAAGAAAATGTCTTCTTTTTTTTGGTGTTCTCAAAGATGATTATTTGTTAACTACCACATTGATTTTTTTTATTCATGACCAATTTGACTTTTAGTTTTAGGTTTTGATGTTAACTTTTCAAGACTGCCATCTTAACCCATTCACCCTAAAGTCACATTTGAACCTTCCAAAATCAAAGACTAGGCAAGTCCAGTTTAGATATATATATATAAGGGTGAATGAGATAAATAAGATATTTTGCTGCAGATGATTCGGAATATGGGCAAAGGGAGGCAATCCATTTGCAGAATATGTATTTTAAAAAAAAGGAGTACACCTTGTCTTCTTTGGCCAATATTAGTTTTAAATATGCTGTTTGCACTTCTCATATCTCTGATGTCATCACAGACTGAATTAAGATTGGCAGTGTTCCTAAAATGACTCATAACTTTTTCTTTGGGTACAGATCTAGTACACATCAATAAGTACAGTTCAGGTTCTTTTTCTTCCATTAGAGGATATGTAACAGATACTTTTACAGCTACTGGTAGCTCACCTAGTATATGTTTACAATAATCCTAGCATTGATATTGTATGTGTAAGGTTTTGGACACATCTCTGCAGGGTACATGCCCATCTACGTACCACAACCCCATAAACTCTGTAAGATTGCATAATTTTCCTACACATCCCACACATTATCTATACCCAGTAGCACGTTCCAGTTCAAGTCCTGTTACATTCGACAAGCAAGCTTAAGTAGGGTGTTTTAGACTTCCTGATGTGGTACATTTATGTAACCATTTATGACATGTAACCTGAGACAGATTGAAGAAGCTTAGATAAACTAGATATGCTGTTAAACCTGGATTATCTCAGGAATTACAACAGGTGATAAACAGCATGTAGTTTACTAGTTATGATTAGTCTTTGTGGACAAGTCATATATGTAATGTGATCATTTAAATCAAGATTGATAATCAACAAGCAACATTTTGTGAAACGAAAACTTGTAGGAAAAAGATGTATAGATGTATGAAACAGACTAACCACAAGTTAACCTGTCCTTCATTGTAACTAATGGATGTGTAGATAACCTGTCCTTCATTGTAACTAATGGATGTGTAGATAACACCATTAGTCCGTGTATAAGTCCGCCAATATTACATTTAATAAATGAACACCTTTTTTATCATTGCAGGTCAAACAGCCGGTGTTGTGTCCAAACGACCATGTGTTCTGTTCTCTGTGCATGGACACATGGTTACAGAGGAACCAGCAGTGTCCAGCCTGTCGCGTGACCATCAACCCCGCTAATCCTGTCCGACAAATTCTGGGTAAGCACTTGACTGATGTACATTGGTTTTATTGAGAAAATAATTTTGTCCTTCAAAGTGATGGACCAATGGTGAAAATTACAGAAAATTCGTCAGAAAAAAGAGCTTATAATGAATAAAGCAATTGACAGCATGTCATGTTTGTACCAGGGAATGTTACTACCGGTACCTTCATATAAACGATTTAACTGTTATAAAACCAACGGAGAGGAATACTGGTGAAAAAATTCAAACTGGGAACAATTTCAGCTTAATTAATTAAGAGCATATGAAATTTGTTGTATTGTAAATACAAAATTGTTCAAGTGTTCAAGGTAAGATAAATAGTCATGTAAGTAATTTATATATGTTTTGTGAGTAATCTATGGACACTGATGTTGAAGACATTGAATTTGTGTAGGAGGACTGAACGAAGCCATGGATGACAAGGAAAGACTATCCAACCCAAAGCTACGCAAGGCTAGATTTGATATACTCTACAGAGAATATGAGGTCAGTAATGTTTACATGTCCTTAATCAGACATTAAGCTAACTTTTAGTATTCATATACTTATTACTAGATCAAATATCAAAATGATTTCAATTATAACTTCCCCATAAAAATAAAAAGGAAAAATTAAGGAAAAAACAACACTTAAGAAGTTTCGTGTAAAATTCTATGTGAAATATGAAGGAAACATTAGCTGTTTACATGTGTACTTACTACCGATATCTTGCCTAAATGCAGGAATCCCCATAATGGGTTCATACAGACCCTCAAAAGGCCCTAAAAACAAAAGAGTTGGACTTAAAAACTAAATGATTGTTACGCACATATAAGTCACCGTATTTTCAGAATTTGCAAATGTTTTATATAAGAAATTGAGATTGTAGCTTTTGGTTTTCACTAGAAAATATGCTCTGTACACAATTTTACTTTATTCTGCAGGAAGAATTTGAAAGGTTGACTGCTGAAAACAACTTGATTAAAACAGAAAACAATGTGCTAAAACAGCAACTTCAGAAGAAGGGTCCTGATGGTAAATTTTCCTCTAAAGACATTGGAGTGCCAAAGACTGCCGATACCAATGGGTTGTTGCTTCTTACCAAAAAATTACAGGATGCACAGAAGCTGTATGAAAAAGTGAAGAATGAACTTGCTAGAACTAAAGAGGTGTGTATGTTTTATCATTGAAACTTGTCACTTTCAATTTTCTTCAGTTACAGAAATATTTTATCAATTACTGTTTATAATGTGCTGATAACTGTTTTAGATTTCATAATGCTAGAGCTGCAGATCTGCCAAGCTCTTAGATCATCAATGTAGGTCCTGACAACTAAAATAAAGTTCCTGGATCTTCAATGTAGGTCCTGACAACTAAAATAAAGTTCCTAGATCATCAATGTAGGTCCTGACAACTAGGTCACTTTCAATTTTCTTCAGTTACAGAAATATTTTATCAATTACTGTTTATAATGTGCTGATAACTGTTTTAGATTTCATAATGCTAGAGCTGCAGATCTGACAAGCTCTTAGATCATCAATGTAGGTCCTGACATCTAAAATAAAGTTCCTGGATCTTCAATGTAGGACCTGACAACTAAAATAAAATTCGTAGATCTTCAATGTAGGGCCTGACAACTAAAATAAAATTGCTAGATCTTCAATGTAGGTCCCGACAACTAGAATAAAATTCCTAGATGTTCAATGTAGGTCATGACAACTATAATCAATTTCCTAGATCTTCAATGTAGGCCCTGACAACTAAAATAAAATTCCTAGATCTTCAATGTAGGTCGTGACAACTAGAATAAAATTCCTAGATCTTCATTGTAGGTCATGCTAAAATAAAGTTCCTAGATCATCAATGTAGGTCCTGACATCTAAAATAAAGTTCCTGGATCTTCAATGTAGGTCCTGACAACTCAAATGAAGCTCCTAGATCTTCAATGTAGGTCCCGACTGACAACTAAAATAAAGTTCCAAGATCTTCAATGTAGGTCCTGAGAACTAAAATAAAAATTCCTGGATCTTCAATGTAGGACCTGACAACTAAAATAAAATTCATATATCTTCAATGTAGGTCCTGACGACTAAAATAAAATTGCTAGATCTTCAATGTAGGTCCCGACAACTAGAATAAAATTCCTAGATGTTCAATGTAGGTCATGACAACTATAATCAATTTCCTAGATCTTCAATGTAGGTACTGACAACTAAAATAAAATTCCTAGATATTCATTGTAGGGCATGCTAAAATAAAGTTCCTAGATCTTGAATGTAGGTCCTGACAACTAACTAAAATAAAATTCCTAGATCTTCATTGTAGGTCATGCTTAAATAAAGTTCCTAGATCTTCAATGAAGGCCCTGACAACTAGCATAAAATTCCTAGATCTTCATTGTAGGTCATGCTAAAATAAGGTTCCTAGATCTTCAATGTAGGGCCTGACAACTAAAATAAAATTGCTAGATCTTCAATGTAGGTCCTGACAACTAAATTAAAATTCCTAGATCTTCATTGTAGGTCATGCTTAAATAAAGTTCCTAGATCTTCAGTGTAGGTCCTGACAACTAAAATAAAGTTCCAAGATCTTCAATGTAGGTCCTGACGACTAAAATAAAATTGCTAGATCTTCAATGTAGGTCCCGACTGACAACTAAAATAAAGTTCCAAGATCTTCAATGTAGGTCCTGAGAACTAAAATAAAAATTCCTGGATCTTCAATGTAGGACCTGACAACTAAAATAAAATTGCTAGATCTTCAATGTAGGTCCTCACAACAACTAATATAAAGCTCCTAGATCTTCAATGAAGGTCCTGACAAATGAAATAAAGCTCCTAGATTTTCAATGTAGGGCATGACAACTATAATCAATTTCCTAGATCTTCAATGTAGGTCCTGACAACTAAAATAAAATTCCTAGATCTTCATTGTAGGTCATGCTAAAATAAAGTTCCTAGATCTTCAATGTAGGTCCTGACAACTAGCATAAAATTCCTAGATCTTCAATGTAGGTCCTGACAACTAACATAACGTTTCTAGATCTTCAATGTAGGTCATGACAACTGAAATAAAGTTCCTAGATCTTCAATGTAGGTCATGACTACTAAAATAAAGTTCCTAGATCTTCAATGTAGGTCCTGACAACTAAAATAAAATACCTGGATCTTCAATGTAGGTCCTGACAACTCAAATGAAGCTCCTAGATCTTCAATGTAGGTCCTGACAACTAGAATAAAGTTCCTAGATCTTCAATGTAGGTCCTGACAACTAAAATAAAGTTAATAGCACTACAAATGCAGCTCATTGCATGTGACAACAGTTTGAACCTTTTTACCTTAACTTAACTTACCTTACCATGGCATACAACAATAATGCTGATTCAGAAGAAATTCTGCTGTAATAGCCCCTTTCACTACTAGAATTGAGTTGGCTACATTTTTTCTACAATGAAACTTTGAAGCTATCTCACTGTCAGGAAAAGTTCCTTACTAGATTTTGTAGAACAACTTTCAATCTGTCAATCACTTGTGGGTAGTTATAATTATTAGAATACTTGCTTGTTCTTTGTGTAACCCAATATGAGTTGGTGATTTTTTAAGTTGGGATACATAATTCACTGATTAGTGAATGAGATTCTCCCCCATGATTTACAATTACAAAATATCGTATTAATAATTATTTTATCTAGTATGACTAAGTAACTACAAAAATACATGTGATGCCTAAAGATGTCAAAGATATTCTTTTAGGAATACCATTAAGGTATCCACCCCAGGATCCCTACCACTACTATGGAACTGACTTCCTTGCAAGGACGTTGGGTCTCCACCCCCGGACTGGAATTCTTTCCTGATATCAAAATATGAAAATAAGGGATCTTTTATCATTTTAATATGATAGGTAAATGAAGTAANGAATATCATTGTTTCTGTAGTTATATAGTATGGTATCGAAATTTAGTTTCTTTAAAATGTGATACACCATGGTCTGTAAAGAGGAATGGGTAGATGTGTTGATAATATATAGATACTGTAGCCTGTAAGAGTAAAGTGTTGTTAATGTAAAATGTGGACGGCATTTGGTTATTTAGCAAAGAAGTTTTGAACTTTCAAATAATATAATCAGTCTCGGTAAAATCTGTTTGGAGCTTCATATAATTAAGTGCCTATATAATTGATACAAAGAGTAGTCTTGCTGTCACCATTGAGGTCACAGGTACCAAAAGTTAATGACTAAATAGTTTTATAGTACTGACAAGGGCCTCGTCTATGTCAAGTATCAAGATGACTTATTTTTCCCTACTGATAATACATTGTAGAACTGAATTCCATCTGTCCCAGATCTTGTGAAATCAACTCTTTCGACAGCCTCAGATGGATTTACTTCCAATTTGGTACACATCATCAGTGTAACATGTGCACCTCCCTTTTTCATGCAATTTTCTTCCATTGCCAGGGAGTTATATCCCTTTGCTTCGTCAGTTAAGAAAGCATGTGACAAGCTTTATTCAGTTTAGAAAAGCATGTGACAAGCTTTATTCAGTTTAGAAAAGCATGTGACAAGCTTTATTCAGTTTAGAAAAGCATGTGAAAAGCTTTATTCAGTTTAGAAAAGCATGTGAAAAGCTTTATTCAGTTTAGAAAAGCATGTGAAAAGCTTTATTCAGTTAAGAAAAGCATGTGAAAAGCTTTATTCAGTTAAGAAAAGCATGTGANCAAGCTTCATTCAGTTAAGAAAAGCATGTGACAAGCTTCATTCAGTTAAGAAAAGCATGTGACAAGCTTCATTCAGTTAAGAAAAGCATGTGACAAGCTTCATTCAGTTAAGAAAAGCATGTGACAAGCTTCATTCAGTTAAGAAAAGCATGTGACAAGCTTCATTCAGTTAAGAAAAGCATGTGACAAGCTTCATTCAGTTAAGAAAAGCATGTGACAAGCTTCATTCAGTTAAGAAAAGCATGTGACAAGCTTCATTCAGTTAAGAAAAGCATGTGACAAGCTTCATTCAGTTAAGAAAAGCATGTGACAAGCTTCATTCAGTTAAGAAAAGCATGTGACAAGCTTCATTCAGTTAAGAAAAGCATGTGACAAGCTTCATTCAGTTAAGAAAAGCATGTGACAAGCTTCATTCAGTTAAGAAAAGCATGTGACAAGCTTCATTCAGTTAAGAAAAGCATGTGACAAGCTTCATTCAGTTAAGAAAAGCATGTGACAAGCTTCATTCAGTTAAGAAAAGCATGTGACAAGCTTCATTCAGTTAAGAAAAGCATGTGACAAGCTTCATTCAGTTAAGAAAAGCATGTGACAAGCTTCATTCAGTTAAGAAAAGCATGTGACAAGCTTCATTCAGTTAAGAAAAGCATGTGACAAGCTTCATTCAGTTAAGAAAAGCATGTGACAAGCTTCATTCAGTTAAGAAAAGCATGTGACAAGCTTCATTCAGTTAAGAAAAGCATGTGACAAGCTTCATTCAGTTAAGAAAAGCATGTGACAAGCTTCATTCAGTTAAGAAAAGCATGTGACAAGCTTCATTCAGTTAGAAAAGCATGTGACAAGCTTGATTCAGTTAAGAAAAGCATGTGACAAGCTTTATTCAGTTAAGAAAAGCATGTGACAAGCTTCATTCAGTTAAGAAAGCATGTGACAAGCTTTATTCAGTTAAGAAAAGCATGTGACAAGCTTTATTCAGTTTAGAAAAGCATGTGACAAGCTTCATTCAGTTTAGAAAAGCATGTGACAAGCTTCATTCAGTTTAGAAAAGCATGTGAAATTGATTCCTTCCGCAATTTAAGCTCACTTAAAGTTTGGTACACAGTTTTTAATGCACTTTTTCATTATCCTTTTTTTTGACATTGTCAGAATATTAAAACATAAAAAATATGATGCATAATTTTCTTTTGTAATTTACTATTTCATTATACACGTGTACTTTATAGGCTCCATGTAACATTTCAGCTTGGTGCAGGGGGGATGTCATCCTCAAACGACTCCTGTTTCAAAAATTCAAAAAATATCACTCTTGGAGCCATTTCACATGTCATTGTTGGGTCAATAGACAGAGAAATGAAGAAAAAACATGATAAAATACATTAACATATTGTTAAAAATATCAGGAAAGTCATGAACTTTGAGAAATGCTTTCACGCTGTTTTTAAATAGCATGTATCAAAACTGGTAGTTTTTTTACAAGTGATTTTATTTTTAGGTTAGCTGAGTCAAAGCCTCATGTGACTGATTGCCATTTACCCTCATCCTGACACACTGTTAACTTTGAACTTAAATTCAAATTCTCCTGAAGTTGTATCCATAAAATTAACATAAATAGTATTTTCTGGAGAAAACACAATACTCAAAACTGATGTGAAACAGATTATAATTATATGTTACAGATTAATGTAATGCAAGTTTTTTTGTATTTGAAGGAAAACAACGCTTTGAAGGATGAAAATGTGAACATTAACCATGAAAACCAGAAATTAAGAGGAGAAATTGCCAACCGGTCTCCTCACAGGTAAATATACTTACCACTGCATCAATTTGTCCATCCACTATTTTTATACGCCCGTCAAATTTGACGGGAGTATTATGGTATGTCGTCGTCCATCTGTCCGTCTGGCGTAAACTTTTGTTCGTCCGCCAATCTCCTCCTACATTTTTTTACTGATCTCTTTGAAATTTGGTATACATTATAATAATGATATGAAGTTATGTCTCTCTTAAATGAATTTTGATTTGACAATTTTTCCAAAAGTTATTGCCCTTTGTTCATTTCAGTATTTGATTTTTTATCCGGAGATTTCCTCCTAATGTTTTTTGACAGATTTCTTTGAAACTTAGTAGGCTAAATAATCATGATATGTTGTTGTGTTTCCTTGAAAAGAATTTTGATTCAACAATTTTTGCAAAAGTTATTGCCCTTTGTTTATTTCAGTATTTGATTTTTGTCCGGCAATCTCCTCCTACATTTTTCAACGGATCTCTTTGAAACTTGATATACATTATAACCATGATATGAAGTTGTGTTCCCCTTAAAAGAATTTTGATTCGACAATTTTTGCAAAAGTTATTGCCCTTTGTTCATTTCAATATTTGATTTTTTGTTCAGAGATTTTCTCCTACATTTTTCATAGCGTGTCAGCTAACAACCACTCTTAGAATGATGCAGATCTTATTTCAATGTAAGAAAGTATATAACACTTTATGGCATTCGACGGGCGTATATTATTCCGCCCCTGTGGTTATCTTGTTTTCCTCTTATGATACCTTTAGGTCTGACAGCTTTCATACTGAAGGATTATACCTATTATTATAACGGTCAATATCAAAGTCACGGTTACTAAAATAGAGATATGAAAAATTATCCATTAAACTTCCTTTCCAAGTGGTAAATCTGATAGCGCAATTGCATCTGAGCTCCACTCTTATAAAAACAAGAGTGACTTCTTGATACCTTTTCATTTCAATAGATCATCACCTTAAATTTCCTTTTTGGCAGTTTAGTACATATATGCAATATGATATTGCTGACCTTTCAGTGTTCTAGTTCAATTATCAAAATGATTGCCTTAGTTTGATAAAATGTTATAAAGTGGCTTTTGAGGAACCTTTTTTATTTACTTGAGTAAAAGAAATGTTTTAAGATTGTCACAATGAAATTTTGAAATGTCAAATAATATCTTGTTTGTTGTAGGTATGGGAGGTACACTGTATCAACATTGGAGGCCAAGATACAGACCTATGAGAAAGAGGTGGGCCAACTGAACAAGGCTTTGGAGAAAAGTGATAAATACATAGAGGAGATGCAGACAGAACTTAGTGAGCTACACACTAAAGAGAAGGCCAAGTCAGGCTTGGTATCTAGTAGTAGCCAGCCAGCCAGGACGTCCTACACACGATTCCTACCCCCTGATCCACCACTGACCTCTGGCTATGGTGTGGACGGAAGCCACAAGCGTCAGCTGTTTGGTGACGAAGGTAGTGAAAAAAAGTCAAAACAAGATGACAAAGGCTATCTCAATGGTGAGTCTCATAAATACACTCAATATGATGACAAGACATTGCATGATCGGTACAAGTCTTATGACACAAAGGCTAGCATGAAACCTACAGCTTCTAAGAATGGTTCCAAATCAAAACGTGTCACATTTGATCTTCCGAGGGATAAAAGTGAAACAATGTCGTTTGATCTTGAAATGCCTAGTCCAATGACGTCCAAACTCTCGCTCACAAACGGGTCATCCGACTCTCCTATCAAAGGTGTACTGAAAAACAGTAAAAAGTCTAGTGCTGCGGAAATGAGTGATAGTTTTAGTCTGTCAAAGCCAAGTTCTTTAGATGATTCTCTTTTCGACACACGAAAAAAGCCATCAACACAACACTACAGCAAAGATGATGATGATTTGTTCCGTCCAAGGTCAACAAGAAGTGAACTGAATGACAGTTTTAGTCTTGACCATCCAGGGCGAGGCTCTCATAGACATGACCATGAGCTAGATGACACCCAGTTGATCCAGTCGGAGTTAGATGAGCTGGATATCTCCCTCACTCCAGACTTCACCGACTGTATGAAGCTGCTGAACAGGGCAGAGAAAAAGGTGAACAGTCATGGTGAGGAAGAGGAGGAGGAGGACATGGACAGTGAACCTGTGGATGTGTACAGGTCTAAAAAAGACTATCTAGGGAACTACAGGTCAAAAGTGGGTCCTCTAGATCACAAAGATGACCTTAAATCATATTCTAAACCAGATCCTGTCACGCAAGATTATAAAGTCAGGGATGACTTTAAGTCATACTCAGAAGGATCTAGTACAAGGACTGAGACAGCTTACTCATCCAAATACTACAACCCTCGCTTGGAGGAAGACTTCAAAACAAGTGCTACAAGTAAGTCTAGCTATGGTGGGACACTGGGTGATGCAGATTCACTAGGCAGCAAGTACAGAACTTCACAAAGTGATACAGACACTTACAGTAACAAATACCGTACAACATTGTCTAGTGGCTATAAGTCAGAATTGTCTAGCAAAGCTGAGAGTGAACAATATTCCGCACCAACAACAAGCACTTCCTCTGGTGACAGGTATTCGGACAATTACAATGCTGGTGGCGATGACATCAGTAGGTACAGAAGATCTGCTGATCTTGATCTACTACCTCCACGAACAACAGCAGCAAGTCTTTCCTCCTCCACCAAGCCTAGTAGTGTGTACAGCTCAACTGGTTCTTCCCTCCAAAAAAAGCCATCCTTGTCTGGGAAACCTCTCGGCCAAAGTGGTTTTGGGAGGAGTCCTTCTGTTGACAACCTCTTTATGTCACCAAAGTCTTCTCAAAACACAGGTAGTCGCTACGCCACCGCAGAAGATATACCATCCTTTAAGTCATCACGTCTCAGTCTTCCAAGTTATTCATCCAACTCTAGCAGCAAGCCAACTTTCAGCAAGTTTTCGACTGGATCATACGAGCCAGGCAGACAAGGTAGGGCTCCCGTTGGTTCTATGTCTGAAACTAACCAGGACTACTCAAAGGCCTCCCTCCCTCCGCGGCCATCCAGAGCAAGGCCCTACTCAGACTATGAGACCACAGGTGGTGCTTACACTAGGGGTTCCAGTAATCTGGGTAAGGGTGGCATGTATGACACTGTGGCTACCTCCAGCACCAACCATGTAACCGACCCACCCATTGACATAGTTGATGACATTGTTTTGCCACCTTATGTAGCGTCCTCTGTGTCACAGCCAGCACTTGTGTCCAGTGTGTCGTCTTTGTACACGTCTCAGCCTAATTCTGTGTCACAGTCTCATGTATATGCTTCTATTGGGGATCAGGGTGTGTCCGGTGTAGATGGAGGTGGGGACGCTTATAACAAAGCTCAAACTAATGCTTATAACAGTGCTTCAATATCCTCTGGTAGAGATAGACCAAGCTTTTCATATACAGACATAGATTTAGGTGTGAACCCCAGGAGTAGGGGTGATTATAAACCCGTCATCAGGACGCGGTCAGCTAGTTTGGATGTACCTGTGTCAAAGATATTAGCCCAGGGCAGTAGTAGCGCCCGTACTCATGCTGTAAGTAGTAGTAATGATTTTGCTGTGACTGGGAGTGGTGTTAAATATTCCTCTGAATATATGCCTGTAGACAAATCTGATGTTTCTGCTCTTCCTTTTGCAGGTACATCTGCCAGATCTTCGCTAGAGAGTGCTTATCCCTCATCATCACGATTCGACCCGGCCCCCTCATCCTCGCGCTATAGTTCTGCGCCATTATCTTCATCCACATCCACAACCTCCTACCTCCCAACCACCGTGACCTCCATCAGTGCTAGTACCACCTACTCCGTAGCACATCCTCCCTCTAGCTCCACCTACCCTGTCGCCTCCCTCACTTCCAACTACCCTTCCTCCTCTGCCCCACCCCCTCCATCCTCGTACACCAGCAAACCACTGGACTTTGAAACAGCTACAAAGGGAGGTTACAGTTACCACTCTAACAACTCTACCTTGGGCGAGTTCTCAAAGTCCGACTCCTATCTACCCGAGCCCAAGAAAAGACTGTTTGAGTCAAGTGACGATTTTGATGTATCTTTAAGTCCCATCAAGTCTACAAGAAAAATGTGATTGTGCCACATTCATGAGGATTTGACACAAATGTATATAATGTATATTTGTTAATTTATATAATTTATAAGCCATTGTGATATATGCTGGCCATGTTACTCATAAACATTTGACAATTAAACATGAAAGCCAGCAGTTTTTGTACAGCAGAGAGAAATAGCAACTTCACTGCAGGAAGAAATGAACAACAATGATTGTTGTGTTGGTAGTTTATAGAACAATGTTGTTTTCTCCATTTTGTAGAACTTTTGTATAGATGGTAACAGATATGAGAAATCATGAGTCCCTCCATAATTTGAAATCATAATTTATGAGTTTTATAAAACCAAATGTCTGATAACAGACTATCTATACTATGTATATGGTTTCATTTTAATCTACATTTATTTATGTTTTTATGATATTTGTTTGAACCATCCTGACATTTAACTTGCAAGTGAAAATAACCTGCTTCACATGTCAGAATTGCTCATTTTCAGCTACCTTAAATACATATACGTCAGAATCTACCTGTAACCCCTCACACACAGCATTACTGACATGTTTACGGGATGCCAAAGACACCAGTTATCTACAAATGTCTAGTAATCAAAAGTCATTTTATTATCATCATACATGTGCTTTACACTTTCAGATTTAATTGTTTAAATGTCCATTCATTTTTCCTACTGTCATCCACTATGATTTTTTTGTGATGAAATAATTTCTATATAAATTCATGCTAATTAATTAAACGTTGAAAGACTTGTTCATGTTATTGAAATTACACTGAAGTGAATTGATGATAATACAGTGAAGATGATAATAATTATACAAACACTGGTGTACTTATGCATCCTGATAAACAATTTGTATGTGTTAACCAGATTATTATTTAATGCCATGATCTGATTCCACAAATGTTATATATATGTTGAGCAGAATTAGGCAGCTAGAATCATGCATCTTAGTGATAATTTAATGTCATTATTTATAAAAATGTCACCTGTATACTCTCTATTACTATAGGACAAGGTACCATGTATTGTAGGCCAGTCTCGTTGCCACGAGGTCAAGTTTCTTTAATGTAAAATATCATACATATCTGTGATTTAAAGTCAGCTGTCTGGTTTATTTTTAAACAAGATGAAAGTAAATCACAATGATCTCACTACACTATAAAGTTTGTCTCTGTGAGAAATATCCTTGCTTTTATGTTAATTTATGCCAGATTAGAATCTCAAAAACTTTTAACTAGATTTAGAAGTAGAGCGAAACTACATCGTTGAGTTGGTATGGTTGACTTTTTATACCTTTTTGATTTTAACAGTATTTAAAAGTAAATGTAGTTAAATACATGTTATGTACTAAATGGAAAAATAATCATGATAATTTAACAGAAAGGACTACAAGATGTAATCACATGAATGAACACTATGTGGATATATGGTCTGGCAGATTTCAAAGGTTACTGTATATTGATGAATAAGAGGATTTAGGGATCTAGTGGTGTTCAGTAGCACTCACATTATAGATCAAAATTTAAAAGTGGATCATGTGCTTTCGGGGAGAAGGTCATAAAGCTAGCTTTTTTTTATCCAGTATCCCAAGTCCTGAGGTCGATTGTTAACCAAAAATTATATTATTTATCTTCAATTTCTCATTCTTGAAATTTCATTTTTGTTTACATATCTATATCGTATTTAATTGTTTAGATTTGTTTGTTGATTTATGTAATGTCAACGCCTGAGTGTTTTAGTTTTTCTGTTGTGATAGTGTAACGATACACTTATTTTTCAAGTGTTAAAAAAACCAGTTGTAGATACACTGTAAAAAAGGAGATGCATGGAATTTCAGCAGATGACATTTTCAGTACTTATTCAATGCATACTTGCCTCAATCAGTGTCTTAGATTAGCCATACTCTCCTGTAGGTTTTTCAGTCATTAACTGTTCTGCAAATGCATTCCTCCGTGTGCTAGCTTTGCAGCAGGTCTTTGTCAGTTATTTTGATTTTTCTATCGCTGTAAAGTAGTGGACCTTTTGCTGTCAGGAAACAAGTCATTATGCGTTTGGTTTTCATCGATAATTAGTTGTACGATTAAAAGTCATTATGTACAGTGAACTGAAGTGTTTTAAACACAAGCTATAAATAACTCATTTTGTGCATGAATAAACAACATCATTAGGGTATTTACCCAGAAATTAAGTAAGTATATACTTAAATATTTTGACATACAAATGCAAATATGAGTTGCGACTTTTCAAAATCTTTGTCTAATACAGAATTAATCAGCGCAATGATTTTAGCACAAGAATACCACATTTACGCATAACAAACATCAAAGATGATCTATTTTTTAGTTCTCTTTTTAACAATTTTAAATGACATTACAAAGAATAGGATTGTCTTTAGAGGAAGACAGAAGATGACTTATTAGCCAAAATGCGGGGCCTCATTTTAAAAGATAGAACTCTATTCATGTATAAGTATGTGTTTTTATCATTTTCCCATGATAATTTCAAACTACCTTCTTCATTTTCAAAACAGATTTTTTGAGTGTAGAGTTGGACCGCCAGCTTCCAGGCTCACAGAACTGCTGCACTTGAAGATGTTGTCAAAATCATAGTTATTTTAGTGGTTATATCCAGTATTTCTTCAAACAGAATTTGATGTCATAAAATATTTATGTTGTAAAGGAAAATCAAGTCTTCACACTTGAAATTGTATGAATTGCAGATAGGAAATATGAAATTGAAGAATAATTTCGTTAAATTCCTCAGAGTTAGGTGATACCGGGGTATACTTTATAACTATTACATGCTTTTGAGTCGTGCATAGTGAGGAGCAGGTGTTCTGCTCATTGATGAAAGGAACTATTCTACAAATTTATACAGTTTAAACATTCATTTCCAGCTGGGGGTCTTGTATTTTTGCATATAGCAGCATTTTATATACTAAGCATCAACCAGATTTTTGTTGATACACATGTCATATTTTACTCCCAGCATTAAAAAGGCCATTCCGGTTCTCTACATATTGGTGCATGACATGGCTGATTTAATCTTTTTAAATGTCACAGAAAACAATGATGGGATCACACATGTCTCTCATCCCCTGTCACCGGTCTGTTGTTTTTATAATGATACACGTTTATGTTAGTCCACACGTGTATTTTTCTAGTAATCACTGACTGATATCGGTATATATGTATATCAGTAGGATTGACCGTCAGTTTGTACTAGTTTTAATGTTCATCATGCACAACCCACTTGCCACATGTCTGTGAAGCTTGCGTGCCCTCACTGGTAAGTCCTATCCTTCACCTCACGCTTTAGCTGTTTATATCACGTTTGTTTAGACATTGTATCCGCATGTATCTCATTGAATTGGTGCTTAAGTTATAACCTTCGATTACTTTGTACTATATTATAGTTTACAAAAATCAGTATTTATACAAAATGTCATGCAGAACCAAACAAAATGATATTTTTAACCCTTTTTACAATAGTTAAATGTCTAACCAAATGTTTTCGTTCTTTTCAAATGCATCTTAATCGTTTAAGACCGATTTTTTTTTTCTCTAAAAATGCAATTGTCACCATGATAACAGTCGTCTGTGTCCTTATTATTTTTTCTTATTTCTTGGAACAATTTTCATCAAGTTTCATAATTATTGAAATAAGAATATGTTTTATGCTTACCGGTAACCAAAAATCTGAAACAGTGTTTAAGATCATACAGGTTTAATATACAAACTGGTAAAAAAACGGTTATGTATGTCAGCAGCTAACATTTTTATCGTCATTATTTTCAGTATAAACACTCGCTACTATGAGACCAACCTTGTTCACTACATACCATCAGACGTTCCTCCATGTTTTTTTGTAGGACGATAATTAAGCAGACATACAAAATTGTCATTGAAAATAATTTGGAGTAATAAAGAACACACCAAACCAGTTCCAAGTTGATTTTTTCCACATTCTCCTCGAGTTAAAAGAAAGGCAACGTTCATACACATTTTGATATTATTTAGAAATGGTTTTACATTGGGTCATTAGAACAGCTGTTTGGATTCTATGTGCTTAATGACTTGTCAGCAGTGTTCGTTGTTGACCTTTTGTTTTGTATTGAACCATGTTTGTGTGAATGTAATACCACTGTATAGCCATTGACAGTATTATCATCAAGTTATCGTTCCTATTCAGAAACCACAGTCAAGGTCTACGGTTGTACCAACTACGGTAGTTCACCAACATTCGCTTACCAACTATCGCTATTATTTACTATGTAAATATGACTTTTTCTTACGTCATAAAATGATAATGAAATGACGCGATATAATTCTGAGTGGGACAATATACAAATAAAGCAAAGATAACGGGATTTTAGACTTTTAAAACGGACATTGAAAAGCATGATTGTAAAAATTCTATAATAATAAGTTAATAAATTTGTTTCCGTTACAGATGCGTATTAATGAATCTCCTCTCGATATTTTTTTTTTTTCAATTTGCCGGAGTCTAGCTAAATTGAAAATTCTTGCATAATTTTGATAAATCTCCTATGAAATGGAAACTTGTGTAAGATCATATGCTATGACATTCCAGATTTCATCGTTTATCAATTTGTGTTTTGATACAAAACTTTTCAGGGTAATTACATACCCTCTGGTTATGCTAAATCGATGTCAAAAGCGACATGTGGTTCGTGGCGATAGATGTATGTGCGAAAATCTAAGTTCATATTTAAAAAAAATAAAAATGAAAAAAATGAAAAAAATGTTGAATTGTTTCTTTTGAAGCCGTCAGTGTGGAGACTGGACCAGGGGCTATTTGTAGTGTACTATTCTATAACGGGGATAGTTCAGTCGGTGACTCTAAAACTAGTCACATTTCAGTGGGATATCAGGAAGAATTAAATCAGCAGAGGTTCTGCGTATTTCGTTAAAAGAATGATTTCAGGTTTAGTTTGATGAACATCGTTATGAAAAGGTTTCCGGTTTTTTTCCAAGGCTGCATTTTGTGTAAAAGTAGAAAACCATTTTAAGGTTATATCTAGACTTTTACCTACATAACCCGTTTTTATAGGAAGCAGTCTCTGATTTAATTGACGAACAGCTGTGTAAGTTGGATTTATTAAAATACAATAAAAAAGAGACATAATCATAATGAAATTGTCACAATATGTTTGGTGTATAAAGGACAAGATATCGGTGACACATCGTTATTTTGTCAGAATTTGTTGCCTGAATATGTAATTTTTTAACGATACATGTGGAAAAAAACCCATCAGACAGCTAAACCATTACAAAGCGTAATAAATGGTAATGATATTGAGCTGGCATATATTACAGTAGTTAACATTAATGGTATGGAGCTGTCATATATTACAGTAGTTAACATTAATGATATTGAGCTGTCAAATATTACAGTAGTTAACATTAATGTATGGAGCTGTCATATATTACAGTAGTTAACATTAATGATATTGAGCTGTCAAATATTACAGTGTTAACATTAATGTATGGAGCTGTCATATATTACAGTAGTTAACATTAACGATATGGAGCTGTCATATATTACAGTAGTTAACATTAACGATATGGAGCTGTCATATATTACAGTAGTTAACATTAATAATATTGCGCTGTCAAATATTACAGTAGTTAACATTAATGATATGGAGCTGGCATATATTACAGTTATTAACGGTAATGGTATGGAGCTGGCATATATTACAGTAGTTAACATTAATGATATGGAGCTGTCATATATTACAGTAGTTAACGGTAATGATATGGAGCTGTCATATATTACAGTAGTTAACATTAATGATATGGAGCTGTCATATATTACAGTAGTTAACATTAATGATATGGAGCTGGCGTATATTACAGTAGTTAACGGTAATGATATGGAGCTGTTATATATTACAGTAATTAACATTAATGATATGGAGCTGTCATATATTACAGTAGTTAACATTAATGATATGGAGCTGTCATATATTACAGTAATTAACATTAATGATATGGAGCTGGCATATATTACAGTAATTAACATTAATGATATGGAGCTGGCATATATTACAGTTATTAACGGTAATGGTATGGAGCTGGCATATATTACAGTAGTTAACATTAATGATATGGAGCTGTCATATATAACAGTAGTTAACATTAATGATATGGAGCTGTCATATATTACATTAGTTAACATTAATGATATGGAGCTGGCGTATATTACAGTAGTTAACGGTAATGATATGGAGCTGTCATATATTACAGTAATAAACATTAATGATATGGAGCTGTCATATATTACAGTAATTAACATTAATGATATGGAGCTGGCATATATTACAGTAGTTAACATTAATGATATGGAGCTGTCATATATTACAGTAGTTAACATTAATGATATGGAGCTGGCATATATTACAGTAGTTAACATTAATGATATGGAGCTGTCATATATTACAGTAGTTAACATTAATGATATGGAGCTGGCATATATTACAGTAGTTAACATTAATGATATGGAGCTGTCATATATTACAGTAGTTAACATTAATGATATGGAGCTGGCATATATTACAGTAGTTAACATTAATGATATGGAGCTGTCATATATTACAGTAGTTAACATTAATGATATGGAGCTGGCATATATTACAGTAGTTAACATTAATGATATGGAGCTGTCATATATTACAGTAGTTAACATTAATGATATGGAGCTGGCATATATTACAGTAGTTAACATTAATGATATGGAGCTGTCATATATTACAGTAGTTAACATTAATGATATGGAGCTGTCATATATTACAGTAATTAACATTAATGATATGGAGCTGGCATATATTACAGTAGTTAACATTAATGATATGGAGCTGGCATATATTACAGTAGTTAACATTAATGATATGGAGATGGCATATATTACAGTAGTGAACATTAAAGATATGGAGCTGTCATATATTACAGTAGTTAACATTAATGATATGGAGCTGGCATATATTACAGTAGTTAACATTAATGATATGGAGCTGTCATATATTACAGTAGTTAACATTAATGATATGGAGCTGACATATATTACAGTAGTTAACATTAATGATATGGAGCTGTCAAATATTACAGTAATTTACATTAATGATATGGAGCTGGCATATATTACAGTAGTTAACATTAATCATATGGAGCTGGCATATATTACAGTAATAAACGGTAATAATATGGAGCTGGCATATATAACAGTATTCACTTCTTTCTATTATAAGTGTTAAGATAGTTGATTCCGGTATATCATTATAAGGTACTAATTATAACATGTAGAATTCACTATTACAGTATTCACTTTCCATTATAAGTGTTAAGATAATTGATTCCGGTATATCATAATAAGGTACTAATTATAACATGTAGAATTCACTATTACAGTATTCACTTTCTATTATAAGTGTTAAGATAATTGATTCCGGTATATCATAATAAGGTACTAATTATAACATGCAGAATTCACTATTACAGTATTCACTTCTTTCTATTATAAGTGTTAAGATAATTGATTCCGGTATATCATAATAAGGTACTAATTATAACATGTAGAATTCACTATTACAGTATCCACTTCTTTCTATTATAAGTGTTAAGATAATTGATTCCGGTAGATCATAATAAGGTACTAATTATAACATGTAGAATTCACTTCTTTCTATTATAAGTGTTAAGATAATTGATTCCGGTATATCATTATAAGGTACTAATTATAACATGTAGAATTCACTATTACAGTATTCACTTTCCATTATAAGTGTTAAGATAATTGATTCCGGTATATCATAATAAGGTACTAATTATAACATGCAGAATTCACTATTACAGTATTCACTTCTTTCTATTATAAGTGTTAAGATAATTGATTCCGGTATATCATTATAAGGTACTAATTATAACATGTAGAATTCACTATTACAGTATCCACTTCTTTCTATTATAAGTGTTAAGATAATTGATTCCGGTAGATCATAATAAGGTACTAATTATAACATGTAGAATTCACTTCTTTCTATTATAAGTGTTAAGATAATTGATTCCGGTATATCATTATTAGGTACTAATTATAACATGTAGAATTCACTATTTCAATGTGTTTAACTGTGTGACGTCACCTTCATCTTCCTTCTTATCCTCTCCCCTCAAGGTATTTGTATTTATGTGTGTCTGTCGGTCAGATAAAATAACTTTTCCTATTTGGAAACATAGCTATAAAGTATTAAATAAAATAACTTAAGGTAATCCCCAATGTTACAATTATGACGTCACAATAATCAGAAGCCAATTTCCCTTGCATACATAATGAATGACGGTACATCGGCTATACGTTACATTAACAGGATATCCTGTCATACCAAAAACGTATCAAAAAATCAAAACCTATCTTAGAGAAATGGCACTTAAGCAGTCTATCACGTTATAATAATATGTATCATTTACCTGTAGTTAGATTTAAAACATTTATTTCGACACTCCGTGTATAGAATGTCTTCTTAATAATTTCAAATCCAATATCAGGAGAGAATTAATAAAAAATCATGGTTAATGGTACGAACAAGTTAAACTATATTATTACCGTGGTTTCTGTTACGAATATGTGGCCCAGTTCAAAGAAGTATGCCATATGCATTTCTAATAGCTCGAAACGTTTTGATGGTTATGTTTAAAAACAACTGCTGGGGTCGAATAATATATAGGCTGCATTTAGGAACACTTTTGGGGGGATATCGTACCTTTTCCTCCATATTTCCAATTCCAGGGTATGGCGGCTTGATGGGGCTATCTTAGTTTGTCCTCGTTATAACTACTTATATTATAGAAAAGCCATCAGAAGTATATGTAAGGTTCTATAGTCAGAATAAAATCTGATTTGATACAACAAGTAGGTCACTGTAACCTGTTGTTTGACATTTGACCTCAGGCTCTGAAAAAGTTTGTGATATATCTTATGCTAGTTCATTTGGAATAACAAGATTTAGCACGGGAAGTACAGGAAGTATGTCACAATTACCTATATACTAAAATAAGTGTACAGCTCAGTAAATAAAGCATTCCTGGTTGGGGACTATTCATTGCTTTGCAATACTTTGCCTTAGTTCGCCTTTCTCTTACAGTTCTAGTTTATATGGGAGCGGGGGAGGGGGNAAGAATTTGTCCTACAGTTCTAGTTTTCAGTTCAGTAAATTTCCAAATGTTATACCTGTTGCACAATTCTTCACAAATATCTGTACAATGGCGGAGAACATCTGCAACCCATTCAGTTCCCTACTAATACATCACAATAACATAAAGTTGTAAAATAGTTATGTGGAGGAATAACTAAAAGCTTTCCGAGTGAACCTTTTGGTGAACTCTGATGATGCATAATTTAATTGTTTATGGAATTATACAAATAAGCATTTAAATTACCAAATTTTTCAAGTAAATAACAAAAAAATCAAAGTTAATCATACAATATCAAAATGGTGTTAGAACGATTACTATATTAAATACTGACTATGAGATTATACGCTTTGTAAAATAGGAGATACAGATTACGGATATTTTCCTGAAATGTTAGCCAATATAGTTAATAAATTCATGATAGACACATCTGTGTAACAGTTACTTAAAGCGAGTTGTTGCCTAAGTTTCTAATGATTTTTTAAGCTTTGCTAGACAATAACTCATTAAACTTAAACGCAGAAGAGCGAATACGAAAATATGGCTTTGATATAAGAT